TGGTGACGCGACTTCGTGACCCAGATCACGTGACATAAAACCCTGGTGCTTTCCCCGGTGTGGTATTGCTAAATGCTGCATTTACTAAAAAAAAAAAAGTTAAGTATAGCTTGTCTTGAAGACTTGAGGAGGCTCATATATGATATATGCATCCAATGTCGCACACAATTTAATAGTGCCAGGAAAATGCGTTTAAGCGATATCTACGTCATTTCACCTTGATTGTAGGAGTAACTTGAGAAGTAAATTTTCGATGGAAATGCGCATCCAGTTCGATACGAGTTTTGCTCAGAGGATCTTTCGCTCGCTTTATTTTTTCATTACAGCTGGTGGTAATTCATTACGGCGGATCTCAAACTAATAAGTGTATGTTTTCGTTTGTTTGCCACTATATTAGTGTGGAGCCAAGTCCGGTGTGTATATTGGTCGAGGCCTTAGATTACACTACCATTAAACTGCCGCTGTTCTTAAATGGTTGGTCCTTACAGTAGCATTAAAAGACGTGACTGACCTGGTAGAAATTTTTAAAAAAACACCAGCAGCTTCAAATTTCTGAGATACATAGAATGCAGTATTCAACCGTTTAAATTTGACTATAGTCAGTGACAGGTTAAGAAAAAAGTGGAACATCCTCTCCAGCGTTCGCTCTACTAAAGTGGAAAGAGGTGGGAGGAGCTTCCACTTTACCCTTAACCTGTCATCGACTTAGAAAAAAAACTAAACAGTAATTACAAGGAGTAAAGAATGTGTTGTTTATTCATTTCTGCTAAATTTAATTTTACCTTTATTTATATTTGTGTCATCCTTTCTCTGTGTGATTCTTCTCACAGCTTCTGCAGCCCTCGACTGCCGTCGGACAAAAGCTATGGGACGACGCTTGCGACCGGGTCCTGACGGTCAAGCCATCGCCAACCCGAGGCCGCATCGTAGAAATGCTCAAAAAAATTGTTTGTTTTACAATGTTTTTATTATTTGTATTTAAAATGAAGAGTTTTACGTTTTTGTTGACATTCCAATAAAACGTACTTCCTTTTCATCCAAGCAAAAACAGCAAAAAAACAAATAAAAATAAATAAAGGTAAGGTCACATTTGAGCCGAAATCATGCAGCCGCAGGTATGCGTTACCTTGCGGAAGTTACGGTCTGTAGCAAGTTAAGAAATGCAGGGCAGCTGCTCCCACAAAGCTCTCCGCTCTTTCCAGTTCAGCAAAGCGAACGCTGGAGAGGAGAAAACCACCAATCATGGCGAGCACGAGAGCTTTATGGGAGGAAAGCCTGTCATGCATTCTTAACCTGCAAGAGACCCTAGCATGCTACATGTAGAACTGCGTCGCGAAAAAAGATGCCGCTGGTCATGGTCCATGGGTATGCAGATTTCAAACCAAATCCTATTTTTGCTGGCATACAAAGATCGAAACTGTAATTTTCGGCCTGCATTCCGTGAGCGTCGCATTTTTACGTCGGCATCTGAATGAGATGTGAAGCTCGAGTCCGTATAATCTCGCGCCAAAAAAAAAAAAAAAAAAAAAAAAAATTGGGTCGTGTGTGTGTATACAGCCTAGAACTTGGTCTGCCTCACAGGGGCGACGAGTCTCCCAGCTGTAGATGAGAAATTTAGCCAGTGCGGTCAGCCGCTAGCCTGGGGTCTTTAACGTGCATCACGCAGTAGTGATACACGACCGCACGCCGGTACGATGCTCATCCAGATCGAAACGGGCAGGGGTGGGGCTCGAACCCAGGATTCCTGGGTTCTGCAGCGCGAGCTGGTGTGCGCTAGACCACTCGGCCACCGATCCCCCCCGCGCCAAAACGGTGGCCGGATCGAGTGTGCCTGCTGCAAGGAGAAGTCACTGTACAAGCCTAAACGAAACTAAAAAAAAAAAAAAAAATGCACCAGAAAACTTTAATTTACCTTACTTTTCCATTAGGCAAATAAACTTTCCTTTCGTGAGCAGTTCGTTTTATTGTAGTGCTTTCCAATGAAGCATGAACTTTCAGGCCGCAGATTTTGAAACATAACGAAGTCCTAACGCTCAGAGGATATGACTGAACGTTTATCTGTACTGCGTTCGCTTGTTCGTCTACCAAAACTTTCCCGCGGTCTTGCCTCGGGGAGAAGGCAGCTTCCAGGGAACATCAGGGGAACCGGCGCCACCCGAAGGCGTCCGTTATGGGAAGCAATATTATGCTCACTTTAATCGACGAAAACGCTGATGATTAGATTATTATCCGCGTCTTCCCAGCGCTATAGCTTGGCGTCCGTCGCAGAGTGGTGACTTTGGTGCACCCCCCCGCGCTTTGCACGTGCTTCGAGTCATTGTAAAATTGTCTGATTTAGCGACTCTCGATAACGCTCAGCAAGTTCGCTCACCATCCTGTTCTGGGTGGGGGGTGCGCTGGGACAAAGCGAAATACGGAAGATCGCGACATCTAGTCCGTGGGTGTCGCTTCTCCACGGTGCACCATTGCGCGGCGTTAAGCGCACTCAAGGGAGCCAACTCAACCCGCTCGAAAGAACGGACCATCCACGATGCGGGACGAACGATACTTCGGAGTCGTGTTGGTGATCGACACAGAGATCATATAGTTTGATTTTCTAACAGATGACCAAAAGTTCTGGAAACGCACGCAAGTCTCTCAATTAGAGCGAGCTTTCAATCAACGTTGAAGGTTGGGCTACTTGGTATACGGACATGACAAAACAAGAACAAAGCGAAGGCGAGGACACAACGCTACGATATCTCAGATAGGTCACACAGAAGAGCTGGTCAAACTTTGACAAATATTGTCAAGGGGACAAACTTTGACAATATTTTCCATAAATAATCCCTATTCTGAAAGTGGCCCAAAAACTGTGAAAGCCGTTTACAACTCCCTGTAACGCCGAATTAGAGCGCAGCTCTTGAGGAGGAGTGGGGAAGGGTCCTAAGGGAAGGGGGGGGGGGGGGGTCACGTGACCCCCCAAAGAAATGCTTCCGCTAGATTTAGCGGGGAAATTTTTCCGCTAAATTTAGCGGGGAAATTTACCCATAATGCACCGCGCGGTTACACCAACGCCGACGGAGACGCCGCTCAAGCCGGAAACGGGCGCCTAAGAGCTGCGCTCTAAAATGTTACATTGCCCGACCAAAGAAGGGCAAAACATGGAAAGTAGTGAAACATGACAGCTCCGACAGGCGAGAGAAAGGTCAGTTTGAGCCTCGGCTGCTGAAAATGTCCATAACTCGAGAACAAAAAATCTGGGAAACGGGCGGTTTGCGCCTTCCTTCATTTGAGAAATGCCCCCAAAACATATATTTTTTTTTCGTCAAAATTAAAAATTCGACCTGAAATTCGTGCCTGAGTTTAGATAGAACCACCCATATACAGTTTTTTTTTATTATTTTTTTTCCTTTTAATTAATAGATTTGTTAAAAAAAAAAGCCGTGAAAGGTACACTAATGCGGTTTGTGCAGGGGAGTTATACGGCCAGGGGGACATTTTAAAGGGGGGCTAATCGTAACGATCAATCGGCTAATTAATTAAAATTCATTAATAATCTTTTTTAATTAATACAAATAAGCGTATGGTTTCAATTAGAAACTTGCTGAGCGTTATCAAAAACCACTAATTTAACTATATTTAGAAGGATATAACGCTGCGGAGCGCATCTCTGCACCCGTGGTCCCGTACCCCGGTGACTGAGATACGCAACACACGTGCACCCAACTTCCCTCCATGCTACGAGGGAAGCGAGGGGGTAGCTTCGTGCCGCGACCACCGGGAGGCAGGACCGCGGGCGCAAAGATGTACAAAGATGCGCTCCGATAAGGAAGGGTTGGTTTTTACGGCGTTATATCTAGAGTCACTAAATAAAGCTAGTTATATCCTTCTAAAAAGAGTTTAGTTAGTGGTTTTCGATGACGCTGAGTAAGTTTCTAATTGGAACCATTTGTGCTATATTTTCATCATTTAAAAAGTTAATTAACAAATTTTAATTAATTAGCCGACTGATCGTTACGATTAGCCCCTTATACTCTGTCCCCCTGGCCGTATAACTCACCCTGCACAAGCAGCATTAGTGTAACTTTCACGGCTTTTTTTTTTTTTTTTAACTATTTGTTAAAGGGATACTACAACAAAATTTCGGCGCTCATTTTTTGGTCTATATGTGTTCAAAAGAGCAGTATCACATGGAACATACCAATATCTTGTTAAAAAAGTCTCGAAAAGGAATTTTAAAACGAATTAAACGATTAGCAAAGAGCACCTGGTGGATGTCGCTAACGCCTCGTTTGTAATGCTCGTCCAGGAACCTTGACAGCTAGTGACGGAGGTTGTCTCGTCTCCGGCCACGACGAGAGAAGGGGAGAAGGAGGAACTCCCCTCTTCCCGAAAATCCCTTTTGTGTGTCGCAGAAGTCGCTATTGTCCCCCTAGAAGATTATAGAAGATTAACCCGTCACTCAAAATTCGTACAAAAGCAGCCCCTTCGGTGGCTGGAAAGACTAGGCCATCCTCTCGACGTGAGCCTCGCCGTAGCTTTCCTCGTCTTGAGACGACCTACGTCACGATTGCGTTGGATGTCACGTGCTCTAAGCTGGGCCTTCTCCGAACGCTTGCCAAGTGGGCCGTTTATAACGAAAAATACAGCCACCAGGATCAAAATACAAACGTGCGATTGTCATTTACGGATATTGTGGATCATATTCAACCTATTTTTGAACACGACGGGAATATTTCAAATTTCGTTGAAGTATCCCTTTAAAAAGTGATTCGGTATGCGAAAAATACGCGTTTGGAACTTGTGTGTTTTGGTGTCATTATGATCATTCGATGATTGCGAGCAGTGCCAACGTTGTGTAATGCAAGATATTATTTTGTAACTAAAATTATAATTGAAAAATTAATTAAAGAACTTACCTGCCAATAAGTAATTTAATAAATATACCCATGCCAACGCAGGCGGAAGACAAACATGCAGCGCCACAACTGCGACTGCAATTTCCTCTGATTTACGCATACAGGCCTTGTTGGAGATTGGAACGTTTCGGTTTGTATTGTTTTTCAACTATTTTTTTTTTTCTCCCTTCTAAACGTACAGCCTACAGACGATTGGCATCGAAAGAACAGTCGAGAATCGCAGTGCTTCCTACCTGGTGCCCGTTCCTAAAAGCACCCGCAGCTATCTCGGCAACTGACGGCGCGGCACACGCACAGCGAGTTGAACCTTCGCAGTACGACTCGAAATCTCCAGAGGTGATACGAGTGAGACATCTAAACTCGTCTTCTGTCGCCCGATTCATTAGAGCAGTATCTCGGGCTATCGGGAGTCTCATCCCAACGCCAGGCTGGAAACAACGGGGTGAGTAACGAACTCGGACTGCATAACAATTCGAACCTGAAACGAGAAAAGAAAAAAAAAAAAAGGAAAAAAGAAAGGCTACTCTGCTTTGTATTGCGTAACCCGAACCTTCCAAAATAAGCGATTTGATCAATCGTTTAACGATGTGAGGTGAGAATTGTTTTGTTTATTTTTGTTCAAGGTCCCCTCGGAGAATAGATAGAACTTGTCAACGCGATTGACCCAAGGCTCTTTCTTCGCGCACGGCTGATGGGAAGTGCTCGCGATACGTTCATGCATGCTGCGTTCTGCTGGATACATATGTTGTTTCCGATCTCTCCGAATTACTCGTTTAAAGCGCCGAAACGACGTGCCTGCTTGCTTTGCTAACCAATCCGACTCGTTTCGCGTTCACTCCGACACCCAGGGCCGCAGGACTGTTTCTACGGGGTGCCATCCAGAAATCACGGCGTTCTGTTTCGGCGATCGGGGAGGAGGTCGCGATGATACCTCTGGAATAGGAGCACTGCCTGCACTGCGAGCCCGGTTTGCGTCGCCGCGGGAGCAATGTACGACTCTCCCGTGTCCCTCCAAGAGTGCTGTGTGGACTTCATCTGCGAGAACATCGACGCGATCTGCGAGGTTCAGGCGAGCCCCGATGACCAGACGCTTCGGTGAGTGGAAATTCCTCGAGCGTACCTCCATCGCATGCTCCTCGTTTTGTTGCTAAGATCCCCTTCGTCGGGGTCTGACGTTCTCTGACACATTTCGCCGGGTCTGGTGACATTCCACGGCAAGGTCGACTCAATGGCATGACATTAGCATACGGTCAGTTGTGGTTGCCATTACCAGAGCGTGTGTTTTACCGCAGTACAAGACATCCACAGTCAAGACCATAGAGTTATAATGTATGCTAGAGGTTCATATGGCACTAGTGTGCTGTGGCAAATCGAAGCAGACAGCAACCAGTTTCAAATTGACTTTCGGTTTTTTGGGGGAAAAGTGAGTGCATTTTCCCTTTGCTCTCGATTATAAGAGCAAATATTCTGAATCATTCATACGTACTAGATAACTTGGAACATTTCTCAGTCATGCATTTTTTAGGGGCAAAGCTCCTTAGGGTCTAGCCTTGTCCGTCCGGCGTCATCTTAAAAAAAGAAAAAAATGTTTGCGCAGTTGACAGGATTCGAACCTGTGCAGGGAGACCCCGATGGATTTCTAGTCCATCGCCTTAACCACTCGGCCACGACCGCGGGACGAGTAGGGAGCTCTGAGATGTGGTAGTAACTCAAGAGCTGGGGATGTCATGGATGAAACATTGCATGTAGCCGCTCAACGTCTATGCAGGAGAGGGTGCTGCAGTCAAATACGTATATAATTGTGTTAAACTTTGCATGCATTGGCTCAACGTTCATAGACGAGAGGGCGCTGCGGTCAAATGCTCAAATGCGTATATAACCACGTTCCATACCACACATTCTCTTTCTGACATGAACCGTTGACTTAAGCGGTAAAGATGCATTCCCACGGCTTCTAGCGGATCCAAGCTGATCCGCTGGAAGAACCACTGGCTCTGCATTTCACCGACCATAAAGCAGTAATAATGAAGTCGAAAGGCAACCCGGAACTCAGCACTACCTATGAGCAGTAAAAAAAAATCAGCACCATCAGCACTACCTATGAACAAAATCAGTATCACCAGAGCTTCACCCCAATCAACATCATTCACCACGTGGAGATGCGGTAATTTTTTCCCCAATTCATTGCATTTAAAACGGTGCTAAAATGGCTTTGTACATGTATTTATGTGCACTGTCGGACACTGTTTGCACGAACACGACGTTGGCACTTTTCAGCATGGGGGATTAACGTGCCAAACAAATGAAGGACATCTGGAGCATTAAGAGAGACGGCAAGAACTACGCAGTAACACTGGATTAGTAACTTCCTGTGCATGTACACTCAAAATAAATTGAAGGCCACGTAATATAGCCTGATTTTCAATGAGTACTGCTTTATTCTTTCTGCTCTGCGAAGATGCTTGTTCTACGTTCAAAACATCACCTGCACGCTCAAAATCTTTGAGAAATGGTGCCTCATAAAAGCTGCCCGGCATAAAAAGTAATAAAGAGACACCTTTCATAGCCCATGCACTTTATTCTTTACATTTTTAATGTTTTAACAATTCGTAAATATGCAAGACGGGGTCATTTTCATGTAGTGACAGGTCTGGCATATTACCAGTATATAAGCGTCACCGGGGGTCCATATCACATGAGCGAATGACTTTTTAGCAAACAGCGACATTTGAGCGAATTTACGTTTTAGCAAATAACGGGGGCGCGCGTTAACCCATCTGCCGCGCTGCGCTTACGCCGCTTCTTGGCGACAGTCTGCAGCGGCTCATTACGAAAACGTGAACTCATTTGGCCCACCCGAAAACGCCGCTTCGCGGCGTCCGGCTATTCGCTAAAGTGTCATTCGGTGAAAAGTGGGCGTTCGCTAAAACAATCATTCGATCAAGTGAGTGCCTCCCGTTTTTACACACGTGCTGTAGAACAGAGGGTTAGGCCTAAAATATAGCGAAGTTTAGCATCGTTCTCTGGTAAAGAAAAATGCTGTAACTAAAGCACACTTTTACAATGTTAATAAAGATACATGCTATACAGTACCGCCCAAACAACAAAAGTTATATATGTTATTTTCCGTCGAAGAGACAAAATGCATGCGTGTTTTCCCATAGGAATGCACAGGATCCCTGCAAAATTAGACTGGTTCCTGTCTACTTCAATTTGCCTCCCGGAAGTCGCATAGGCACTAGCGCCACTTGAACCTCTAGCGTGCGTTATAATAACTCTGTGGTCAGGACATGTATACCGAGTCTAAACTGTTGAAGATACAGGTTGTTTGTCTAGACTCTGGATATAGACAAACTAAAATGTTAAGCATATTTCTGACATCATCATTTGGATGCCGTGAGTTCAGCTTACCAAGTGTTGGGAAAGTGAAACAAGACCATGTATTTTTATAAGATATCATCTGCTGTGTATGGCTTGCACTGATGTCAGATCAGCGGCCATTGTGAAGGACCTGGCTGCTGCTTGCGTACTTTACGCAGCATGTATCTTATACCACCGAATTCGTTTTTCTCAGCAAGGACAAGTAGGATTGACCATTACTACAGTGTGGTTGCATCATGCGTAAGCCATGCATAGGCTAGGAACTAAGGTGTTGGGCATGCCTATTTCTGACCTAGTCGCTTGTTTGGCAGTTCATAGTTCCAAGTGTTGGAAAAGTCAAACAAGGCCATACACTTCCATGAGGCATCATCTTCTACTATTCTATCGGCTCCAAGAGCTTCTGTTAATTTTTTTTACTCATCTGGATGACACAACACGGTTCATGGCCATCTATTGAGGGACTTATTCAAATCCTTGAATGTATGGCCACATTCAGCGAATTAAATTTTATATTTACTGGTTTAACTCATGGGGCGGTCTTGCAAGACATCTGCACTTGTCCTTGGTTCTGCCCAGGTACTCTTTCAAGGATCCAGATGTCTTCTTCCACAAGGAGGTGTCCCAGCAGGTGCTGGAGACACTCAGCTCACGCGGTCTTCTCAATGACAGCATCCTGACGCTCTTCGACTCCAGGAGCACCCGGCTACAGAGGGTCCGCATAAAAAATGCCACCAACGTCACCACCAAGCAAGTCCACTTTTCGCCTCTTAACCTTCTGCCGTCCATCCATACGAAACGCATTTCCATGTGCAAGCTTTGCTTGAATAATGACTGCACTGTTGGCCCGTGGACCACACAAAGACTGTCCATGGATGCTATGGCAGCCTTCCATCGGTGTCACGTTAGAAGCTATTGTAGTGGCCTTACTGTCGAGCGTATACCGTCTCAAGCACACATTTCGTATTATTGAATTTGTTTTTCTTGTCGAGGACGAGGGATCACCACCAACATTGGTTTGCCGGTCAACCGCCGACTTGTTGCCACTTGTTGCCTGCCTGCCGACATTTCAGCCAATGTATTGCTGGTTTTCACTATTTTGATTGATGAAAAAAATCATCAGTGTCGGGTAAAATACATATATAAAAAGTACTTGAAGTAGAATACAAAAGTAAAGGAGAGGTTATGTACTTCCAGTACATTTTATGAAATATGAACTATTAGCATTGGATGAACTTTGATTTCAATACATTCCTAAATCAACACTGATTTATGACACATATCTACCTAAACACTCGAATTACAACCTGAGACGTCAGCACTTCCTAATACCCAAAGTTAGAAGTAATTACGGGCATTAAAAATGATCCTATGAAATTCCTGGGTATTCTCAACAAACATATTATTCACATTTCTCAACTGGCCCATAAAATCTCTTCCGTGTTCCTTTTAAAAAAAAAAAAATATGGTAAGGATCATCCACTGACCAGTAACCTAGCGCAGTAGCCTCGTAACTTATGCTGTCTGTACCGGTTTCTGTTTGTTTCCGTGTCAAATTTCTAACCCCGCTGCCTGAGTGCTCTAGTGGCAGTTGGGGTCTTGTCTGGTGATTTTATTCACCTTTTGTCCCAACTGCCTTGACTTTTCTGTCGAAATAAAATATGTCAATTAATCAGTCATTCAAGAAAGTAACGTAGTAAGTAAAATGGGTGCAATGTACCTGAAGTAAAGTACCATAAATGCAATGTTCTTTCAAAGTAAAGTACATTAACTTTTTAACACAATCTTTCATGATGCCCTGTTATTTTTTTTATTTTTTTAATGTATGCTTGCCTCAGGGGTAATCCGGGGTGCATCAGTTATTTTTTAAGGTGGTCACGAATATTGGATGAAGTCAAGTGGCCACAGAGCAGTTGATGTATTCTCGCCGACAAACTGTTTAACGCAATCAACTCATAAGGCACTTATTTGTTGGCAAAGCATCATTTCGTAGTACAAATCTAACAAGACCAAGAATTTGGTGAATGCACTTTGAAGTCGGTAGTTGTACCTCCCTTGGAAAGTACCAGAAAGAAACACATTTCAAAAACGAAGTACAAATACATACTTGGAGAATGCACTTCAAGTAAAGTACAAGTTTTCAAAACCTTACTTGAAGTGTAGTACCTTTTAAGTACAGTGTACTAAAATTGTTTCCCAACACACTGAAAATCCTATAATGGTGCAAGCTGAGTCACTCCAATGTCTCCTATGCAATCAACATTGTAGCCACTTTTAAGGGGCTCAGGTGGCGCAAAGCACAACCTAATACGTTCATGCTTCACGATCCATTCTCTGACATGCTCATAAAGCAATGCCACAATTTCATCGCAATAATAACATGCTTGGAGCTGCCTCGGTGGCTTCGTGCCAGATGCCCTTCGTTGGCGGCACGTAAAGACCCCAGATGTTTAGTAGAGTCATCAGGACATGTCAGGCCCGGGTTCCTAATGCAATGACTGCAACGACTGCAGTCATTGCATTAGGATCATCTGTGGTTACACCTGTCCTCGAGTTTTGTCATGTCTCAGAACCGCGGGTTCCCTCTCGACCTCGCCACAGGGGTCTGCGGGTCCTACGCTCGCACAAGCTGACCGAGCTGGAGGCCACGGGCCTGAGCCAGGTGGCAGTCAACGACCTGATCGGCTGCCTGGGCGACTGGACGCTGAGCAACCTCCGGCTGCTCAACGTCGCCCGCACCGCCTTTACCAGCTCCAAGTTCTGCGTGGTGGTGGCGCTCTCCAAGCTGCGGAGCCTCACGACGCTCAACGTCAGCAACACGGAATTCAACCGCCACGGGCTGGACATTGTGGCGACAGACCTGCCCCTGCTGGAGGTCCTCGACATCTCGGCCACCCGCATCAAGTGAGGACCCCCCTCGCTCTGCGACGTCTGCTTGCACCTTATGAACGTGGGGTGTTCGAGGCTTGTTCGCACAGTGCTGTCTGCTCAAGTCACGTCATCTTATGGGAGCTTGGGTGTCCATTCACGCAAAAACATTTGCTTACGTTTCCAGGCATTACATGACGAACCACCAGGACGTCCGTGCTTTGTTTGTTGCATGCAAAGCTACTTCTTGTATTGGTTTCCACGCTTCGTACGAAGCACGGATGTCTTGGTGACTCGAAGAAAGTGGACACGAGCTCCCTTAACGTGACACTCTCTTGTGTGAACGGACATTTACGTCTGCTTGCGCCGTGAATCATCAGAAGGTAACTTGCAATGATAATTTTAATCACCGAGATGTCTGGAATGTCATAACTCTGAAGCGTAGCTTTTAGGTGGCTTAAGATGACATTATACAACAAAAATACATTATGTCTTTGTGCCTCTTCTCCCTCCCCAGGGACATCTCTCCTCTGGTCCGCTGCCGCGACCGCCTCAAGTCTCTCAGCATGTACAACCTGAAAAGCCTGAGCTGCGAAGAAGTAGTGCCAGTGCTGTGCCAGCTACAGAACCTCCACCACTTGGACGTATCGGACGATCACGATCATCCACTGGACCTGCTGCATCCGCTGCGGCACGACGTTTCCTGGCTGCTCAAGGATCCGGACCGCTTCCCCCACCTTGTCTCACTCGACCTCTCGGGGAAAGATGGCGTCACCGTCTGCGCACTCAGGTCGGATACGAATGCGGCTTGCTCAACGGCTGCCAGCTGTCGCTGGCACTTCTTAAAATGTTGAAAACTTTGCATGCCAGCACGATGCCCTATGCATGGAGGCCGTAGGTGGAATAGAAAAAAAAAGGGCGTCAACAACGGTTTTTGTTTTACACGGAATGTCTTTAGGGCTAAAAAAGTAAATGAATAAAATGTAACGTAAAAAGGTAACACATAATTTCTCCACTATATTTGGCACGTAAATTTAATTGGTGCATAATTACAGCAATACGGGTTTTCCCGCTAAATCTAAAAGGGAAATTATATGTCACATTTATGCCATTGATTCTGCACAAAATGTATGGGCCAGTATTTTAAGGGAATGCTCCAAAAAGATGTGTAGCAGGTAATATTGGTATTCCGGCGATTTCTTTATGGTCCCCGATTTGCTTGAAATTTTGCTAAACTCACCAAACAACATCGCCAAAATAGTATCCCAAATATTAGATCAAAATAATTTTTGTTCACAAAGTTATTGAATTCACAATTTCGGTCCTCATCGTGTTTTTCAAACTGAAAGTCTCTACTGACAATAACAAAAAAGTGACGTCGGTGGAAGTGCAGGGGTTCACTCTTTGGATTGTAGAATTTGTTCCCAACTGATTCGAAGCAGTTTCATGGTGTCAAATGAATGCTTTGGAAGCTTTCTCCAGTCCCCGCGCTCTAGCACGTAACAAATGATTGGCACATTCCATTTTTTAGACTGCTCGCTCGACTGGCAAGCCTGCCCGCCACTGACGTCACGGCACTGAAAAGTGCGGGTATATTTGAATGTTGGTTTACGCATCATTTTCATTTGCCGATTTCGCAATAACTATTATGAATTTCGCGATACGAAATAGCATACCGGAAAGGGTAACGGCCGGGGAATCAGAAAATATAGTTAGTTGAGGTAGCTCAAAAAATCGCCGGAGTACCCCTTTAAAGGGGTACTCCAGCAATTTTTTCACGGTCCCCTATTTGCCTGAAAATTTGCTGAACACACCAACGAACATCGCCGAAATTGTATCACAAATATTATTTCAAAGTATTAGTTTTGTGTAAAGTTATTGAATTTCCAATTTTGGTCCTCACCGTGTTTTTCAAGCTGAAAGTCTCTACTGGCAACAACGAAAAAGTGACGCCAGTCGAAGGCATGACTTTACTCATTGGACAGTAGATTTTGTTCCCATCCAATTACAAGCAGTTCCATGGTGTCAAATGAGTGCTTTGGAAGCTCGCTCCAGTGCCCGTGCACCAGCACGAAACAGATGCCTGGCATAGTCAATTTTTCACGCTGCTTGCTTGACTGGCAAGCCTGCCTTCCACTGACGTCACAGCACTGAAAAGTGTGAGTAGACTTGAATGTTGGTTTTTGCAACATTTACATTTGCCGATTTCAAAATAACTATTGTGAATTTCGCGATACTAGATAGCATGCCGGAAAGGGTAAACGCCAGGGATTCAGAAAATGTAGTTAGTTGGGGTAGCTCTAAAATTGCTGGAGTACCCCTTTAAACCAGGGAAATTGTATTGGCCTGTAAAGGAAGAGAAATATTAAATGACTACCGAATTGTTCCAGTCAGCCAGGGGCTTGGGGACGGACGTGTCCGTATTTGGGAACTGTACAGTACATTGACTACTACATAGGAAGATGCGACAAACCCTTTCCTTTCCCCTCAACCACCCCCGGTCATGAAAATCCCAACCCCCTCGAAAATAATTCCTGGCTCTGCCACTGATAATTAGGGACCAATTCAGGTTTTCTTGCTATACTTAGTGGGTAAATTACGTGGTACACTTACACCTTGAACATCTGCTAGATTCAAAAGAAAAGAACAAGACCAAAGGGGGGTGCCGACCCCAAAAGGTCCGCAAACCCTTTGGGGTCGGTGAAGGCATTCTAGGTGTCCGCGAAGCCCTGCTTTATCAGCAAAGCTTGGCAATAATTGTATTTTTTCAAATTGAGAAGAAACATTCCAATTTTTGGGCAAGTTTTCTCATGTGTACATCAATGAGAGAAGTTTAATTCACCATAGCCCTCAGTTATATCTATTTATTGCATCATTATCATAATCAACCTATACTTTTCCCTTCCCCTCACCCCAAACGGGGTCCTTCATCGACATCAGTGGTTGAGAACCACTGACATAGATCTTCATCTGTGTGATAACGCTGAGGTGCTGAGTATGCGCAGAGGAAAGTTACTTTTGAACCCTAAACTTGGTTTTAAACAGATAAAGGTAAATTAAGAACTTGTCGCATGACCTCTGGGCATTGAGACTGGCTCATTCTTGTGACTCAGCTAGTTTTGAAGAAGTGTTTTTGCGGAATGAATTGCCGTTGCACCGTCGGCCGTCAGTGGTCACTGTCAGTTGCCGTGTTTTCTGTGTCCGAACAGGAGCTTTCTGGAGGCCCACCCCAAAATGAGCTTCTTGGGCCTCGTGCAGACGGACGCCTGCTTCGACGACTACTTCACGCGAGAGCTGCCGAGAAGCTCTGACCTTGTGGTAAGAGTTTCGCCAGGCGTCCCCTACGGCCATATCCCACACGATTGGTTTCTTTCTTCTCTTGCCATGTAAGCTGGGGAAGATGGTCCTCAAGCGTCTCGAAACCGTGGAGCAGCATAAACTCCCCATAAACGTCGGGTGTCGCTAAGCCGGTCGAAATGGTTGTAGGCAGAAACGACGACACCAATGAGGCCCTTCTGAAGTTGCACGATAAGTGTCGTACTAGATGAGCTTAGTACCAAAAAAAACATAAATAATGATATTTAAACAAAAAAAAGAATTACATAAATCGGATTCATTTGATTTAATTTGGCGAGCAAGAAAAAGTGATTATCTATTACCAGATATACTTTTAAGCATGGCTGTGTGATCAACTCATCCAATCACTGAAAACGATGTGGAAGAAAGAATTACTGTAAATTTAAACTTTTTTGTAATGCACAATTTAGCTAACACTTTTTTGTTGTTGAAAACACCGCCATACTATAACAAAAGCTGCCTCATTTTATCTTTTTTAGTTAGTGGAGAAGTTTTATTTGCTTTTCTTTCGTTTTCTGATTCGATTGCCATAGGACAATGAGTAACTGACAAACTAAATGGAAGATAGAAAGAAAGCTCACTGCTCTGATTTGCTCATAGGAGCACCACTTTGCTTTCGTGTTCTGCCTGCTATAAACATTCTTTTTTTTCTAGGCGATTCTTTTAGTTAAATACAAAGCAAATGCATATATTCTCCGCGCCACCAGCTGTGCGCAGTGCGGGCGAAGGCAACGTCGGGCAAAGAGAGAAAGGGCGAGCACTAGGAAGGTAGGAGGGTAATGGAGGCCGAGGGGAGAAAGGGAGAGCACTAGGGGCATTAGAAAAGAGAGGGGTTTCTCTCTTCCTCCCCAGTATTTCTAGTACTTGCCCTTTTTCCCCTCGCCTGGCGTGGCCTTCGCCTGTACTGTACGCAACTAGTGACACGGAGTATAGATTGCTGATGATAGATCTAGATAAATCTTTATTTGATGCTCTCTGTACCGGATATTCCTTTCAGGCATATTCGGTATAGAAAGCACCAAATAAAGACAAAGGGTAAATAAAAAATGAATTTTAGAAATTATTTTTATGAGAAAGGTTTAATTTAAATCATAGTAAAACTTTTTTTTGTTTTTTTATTTAGAGATTACTTTGCAGTGCCCGAGGGCATTTTAGCAGGGGGTTACAGTGCTGAAAAAAAACAAATCTTCATTTTCGCTGCACACTTGCAGCTCCGACGGTCCATTTCACTGCTGTATCGTTTTAACAAAAAAAGATTTGGCATACATGTCTGTCCTGGGATGGTACTCTCTAATTTTAAGAGCATGATCGTTCTGTTTAGAAATATACCGTAATATGGTTCTTTTAAATAAGTTTTACTGTTAATACCATTTTTATTGTTAGATATGAAAAACAGAAACTTTAAACACAAGTTTTTACGGCGGGCTGAGAGAAGTTCAGTTTTCATTTGAGTACAGCTGTCTCTCCGCCCGTTCTCCGCCCGTACCGTCCCAGAACGAACCTAGCAGCTCTGTTTTGTATTTTTTCAAGTTTGTCTATTAAGGTCTTTTGTTTCAGGGTCCCAGACGGCGCAGGCATCTTGTAAAATCGGCCTAACACATGTTAAATATGCGGTTTTCTTTAAGTCAGGGAGTGAACATTTTAGGTTTTGTTGAAGAAGTCATAAATAAAAAAAAGATCATAATTTAAACCATGATTTAAATCATCTTGATTTTTATTCTCCACCCTCTTAGTACAGAACTGTCTCGTAGCTGTGGGCCTATGCAGCTTTATCAGTGTTGTTCTTAGCCTAAAAAGCAATGTTTGTAGAGATTTATGGGTGTATGTCAAAGTATTTTGTGCACACTAGATGCACATTGCTTGTAACAACTTATTTAGCACATACTTGGCACATTATAGCCTTAGAAGCTTTTGTGGCATTGAACCCAAGGCAATCAATCAACTTATGTAGGATGTACTTGGCATGTTATAGCCCTAGAAGCTTTTGCATCATTAAATCCCAATTAATCAATCAATAAATCAACTGATTTAGGACATACTTGCCCCAGAAGCCTTAGAAGCCTTTGCATCATTAAACATCAGTCAATCAATCAATCAATCAATCGAGTTATCTGTGACATAGTTGGCACATTTTAGCCTTAGAAGCTTTTCATAATTGAATCCCAGTTAATCAGTCAACCAGTCTACTTTCCCAAGACATACTTTGTGTGTTATAAGAAGCCTTTTTATCATTATCCCCAATCAACTTATTTAGAAAATATGTGGTACATTACTGCCTTAGGAGCCTGTACATCAATAAATCCAAGTTAATCAATCAACCAACTTATTTAGGATGTCTGGTTTTAAACTTTCCCGTTCCCACAGATCACGGGCTGTGCCGACGAGCGACAGATAATGGAGGCGCTGAAGAGGTACCCCGACAGGCCGTACTACGTCCAGAAGTCCCTGTACTACCTCTACCAGTACACCCAGGCCTACTCGGAGCCCCGCGTAGACATCATACAGGTGAGTCCAGCTGTTTTATACAACACCGTTTGCCAAAGCGAGAAATTACACTAGTCAGCACGTCACCAGAATTGCATTCACTCGAGTCTGTCAAAACTCGGCCTTCATTCATGAAAGAAAGTCGGTATATTTAAAAAAAAGTACAGCGACCTCACAAAAAGTCCAAGTCCCACTGGAATTCATTAGGGGCAGCATTGTCAAAGCCAGCAGCTAGGTGGTGCAACCTACCACCCTTTATAAAGGGTACAGCCATTAGCATCCATCCATCCATTGAAACATACAACATTGACACACATCCATCTATCATTGATGTCTGTAAAAGCCGATAGATTTCTGTTTTAGCAGTTTTGTTGTCAGCAGAAGGGACTAATTATACCTTAGCATGGTAAATCTACTACATAAATGCACTTTCCAGTTTCGCAGCACTTTCCAGTTTGCAGATCACTACTTTATTATTTTGTGTTGCAAAAGCAGTGAGTTATGTTATATAGTCCTTCAAATTTACTATTGGCTTCTTTTTATAAAACGGTGCCTTCAGAAATCAAGGAAACTGAAGCTCTGGGTTCTTTTAGAATCATTTACAGAGTCCAGATTAGTTTGGAACATTGGTAGAAATTGTAAGAACTTAGCCCCCAAGCATTGGTGGAACCTCTTCCTCGAGTGCCTCCATGTTACTCCTGGTGGTGGGAAAACATCACATGTTCAGACATACAGTGGCACTCTGCTCCGTGAAACAAGCGTGCTCCAGGCTTCCTCAGAGAAAGAGCGCAAGAGAGAGCGACAAGAGAGCAGGGAAAAGATGGACCGAAATCGCTGCTGCTGCCACACTGATTCTCGAAAGCGGTTATGTGTAAAAAAGCATGGTGAATGCAGCCTCTCAGCACTTTTCTGCAGAGTGAACATTCTTCAAGTCCCTCTTCTCCCTGGTGCAAGTACATGAGGTCACGCGTGTGCATGAACAACCTGCGCGCGATGTGCAGATTATGACAGAGCCTTTTTGTTGTTGTGCATACATGTTGTGCATAGAGGGGTGATGACACCGTGCGCTTGCGGCCACAACTGTACGTCAGGAACGGTGTGGCAGGCCGAAGAACTGAACCGCAGCATGTGTGCATACTCAGGTCTTTAGAGACGGCAGCAGGAGCTTCCGGGGCCGTTGAAAGCGTGCACCCACACGCACGTGACGCAACACGTAGCAACCGAGGTGCAGTGGGGGACAGCTGGGCTAGGCTGTACTTGGGCTGCCAGTGGGGTGTCGCGAGGCAGCGTGTACGGGCGGCCCAAGCTGGGTTAATATTTTGTAATGAGCCATCCCCAGACTGTCGCCGCAAAGCAGCGTGACCGGGGAGGGGCCAGGGGCCGAAATTGGTGAAGGGAGACGTCGATATTCGGTTGCTAGGTGTTACATGAAGCTGTGGCGCCATCTGATGGTGACGTTGCAAACTTTGAATATGTGTTCTCCAACCAGTCCAAAGTCGGCGCATGTGCCATGGCACTAACGCATTAAACGAAGCAGACTTCTTTGCCGCAACAGGTTCAGGTAGTTTCGAGTGTTGAATTCCCTTTGCCGCGAACTGGGCTCTGCTCAGCGCTGCTGCGGGCTCCAAGTCGCAGTTTCACTGCAACACGGTGCTCACACACTTGCCTCGTTCTGTGTGTATGTTTATACAGCCTGAAGTTAGTCTGCCTAAACTGGCAACCTGTCAGTCATCTGTAGGTAAGCAACTTAGCCAGTGCAGTACAACCGCTAGCCTGGGATCTTTAGCCAGGGCCGCTGCCCTTGCCACACTAGTACGGCAAACAGGCAACTTTGTTCCCTTTTTTTTCCAGCTGATTTTGCCGGGGATGCTGGAGCATCCGACCGTGCTTGGGATCCAGATGGCAGCCACGGCCTGCCTCTACAACCTCTCTAAGAGTACCATGGGCCAGAAGATTCACCCCCGCTGGCTGCGCCAAATCGTGATGCTCACCCTCACCGCCATGGAGAACTTTCCCCGGCATCAGCAGGTGAGTCTCGGCGAGACATCTCAGCGGTGCCGCATTGTCTATTGTCAGAGGGCACTACGAGCCAAGGAACCTAATCCGACACCGTGCGGGTTTCGTGTAACCTGCGGTAGCAGAGCAGTAACGTGTGGAAAATGTGGTCAAGTGATATTTTCACACCGTTAGTTTGACCGGGATGGACCACAGCGAGCCGTGAAGCAGAGTATAGACACTTTCACTACCGAAGAACCATGAAAGCAGCAAGCTTTCGTTTGAATGAATTCGCTTGATATTTGTGCTTCAGCGCAATCCCAATCTTGACGAATGTACAATGAACTGTTCCTGTATAGCGACGGGAGAAAACAAACTATGTGAGATGAAGCAGAAGGCAAAAAGCTGTCCCGAAATCGCTCCTGGTAAAGTAAGAAAAAAAAAAAACAAGCTAATATCTGAGATATGTTTGCTGCACCAGGAAATGCGAATTTGCTGCATACGCTATTTGAGGCATCAGTTCCCATAACATGCGAGTTCGTAACAGGTTCCCGTGTGACCTTCGTACCGTGCTGTGTTTGCACAATTCTAACGTGCACTTTTTTTTCGCCAAAATCGGTGCCCAAAACTGCTACACGCGTGCTACAATTGAAACTAAGAACTGAAACTCAAGAAAAATGCAATGCTCGGTATAAGGTGGTTAGCCCCATCACCATCGTAACCGTTTGTTTACATTCGCCTTTTTGATATTCGTATCGCGCGCATTCTCTCGTGTCTACATACTCGTGTACGCCGTTTTAAGATGTGGAAAAAAAAATCCACTGGGAGGCTTTATTTAGACGAAAGGCCGTCACGCTGGTGGGAAATATAACAACGGAGACACACTGCGTGGCCTTGCAATCCCAGCAACCCAATGAGCTCGTTTGAAAGACGGCCCTCCGAAAGGCAACGGTTGCACACTCGTACATGCGCAAGAAGCACGGCACTTAAAACGTTTTGGACGAAAGCAGGAATCACCTCTCTGGACAGCGAAGAACCATCGTCGGACTTTAACAACGTCGACTAGTGCGCGGCACTTATTTTTGTGTTGGCGTTCTTTTCATAAAATCTGTTTATGAGGTATGTGTTTAGTCTTCATTATTATACCTGTGCTGTAAAATCGGCCACAATTTATTTTTTGGATATCTGAAAGCTAAATCTGCCTGCGCGTTAGAATCGGGGGCGTGTTAGAATTGTCCAAACACTGTAAAGCGAATCTGCTGAGTCCGCAACCCCTTTTACTGTGACGCAGGTTGTCGTAGCAAATTACCGCGTGTTTATCGCATCATAAAACACAAATTTGCCGTGTCCGCAATCTGCGGTATCAGTTCCCGTTTGTTGTGGTTTTTTTAATACTTTTTTGCTGTCGCATCTTCAAAGATAGCCCACCCCATGTTTTTCCCAATTTATCTCTTCATTTTGGGTGGGTGTCCTTACGGGATTGTACAGTAGTTCAAAGAACAATTGGAAGTGCGAAAGTGTATGAGCAAAGGGGGGGGGGGGGGGGTTAAAACCCAACCATGCTGATATGTAATTCAAGTGTCAATTCAGAACTGCGAGCGTGTTGTTTACATTTTTGTGACGTGAAATGTGCTTTGTCTCGTAAGGGGGTGTCTAGAAGTTTGTGAAGCCAAAAAGTGAAGCCGCCAATTAACTCGATGCTGATTGGCTGAGCTAGGTGATGATGCCACTCCCCCTATTTTGGAGACACCGCCACCGCCGCGAGTTGAGGTGCTATTTGGCGGTAAAGCCCAATGGGGAGTCTGCTCTGCATTCGGCAGACAGAAAGTTGACCCCCTGTCCCACATTTTTAAAGCCCGGGTTAGCGCCAGTATTTCCATTCCAGAAACTGCTATTGAATGCACATGCCATGCGTTAAGACAGTCGCCAAACTAGCAGATGAAGAGTGCCGAGAGCGTAGATGCCGCATATTTCACGGGCAACGCTATGTTGTTTGCTGTGCATTTTTTATAGAGTGTTGCAAGATTTTGGTGATTCTTCTCTGAGAGCTTCAAGCTTAACAATGACCTGCAACTCATTTCTTCAATAACCAGATTGTTTGATGCAATGCTCCAAGTCTAAAGCAGAACTACAGTCGAAGCTCATTATAACAGACCTGGTTACAACAGACATTTGGATATAACGTACCGATTTGTGAAGTTCGGTTGGTTTTCCTCTATGCGCCATTGACTCAACTTCGTATCTGCATACAACATACTCCTTTTACAACAGACCGAAATCTTGGTCAAAATCAAGGTCTGTTATAACGAGCTTAGACTGTATAGTGCGCCGAAAGAAGCGACTAACCGACTTTCCCATTTTTTCTCTTTCTCCCCCCAGCTTCAAAAGAACACTCTCCTCACGCTGTGCAGTGATCGGATTCTCCAGGACGTGGTGAGTTGTCGTCAAGATGGGTTTCGAGTCACGTGACCAACTAACGCCCTTGCGTCCCCGCCACGGCAGACGTTTGACCGGTACCACTGCGCTCGGCTGGTGATGGATTCGCTAGTGGCTTTCGATGACCCCTCCATGAACCGGATGTCGGTTGCCATCTGCTCTATACTCGCTGCCAAGGTGAGTGCATCTTTGAAATACTGATACCCAATGAAGCAAAGAAAGAGAAGCAAAGGCTGCACCAAGTGTTGCCAATGGCAGGATTTAAAAGGGCACAAAAGACCTTCGTTTGTCCGGCCTCCAGCGTGAGCTTCCTACCTACTATAACCCTTAACGTCTCGTGAGCCTTTAGCGTGCAAGCGCAGTCGAGTATGACGAAAGGCAATGAGCACGTAATCAAGGCCAGGCGTCGGAAAGTGACACCATGCCATTCTCACCCTTCTCTATGACTGTAGCTCAGTATCATTTGCGAGTGACTCAGTCTCGTCTTGAAGTATTTCTTCCAGACATAAAATATGGTATCAAAGCATTTAATAGGTTCCTTCGGGCCTCTTGTTATTTTCAGTGGAAAACAAGTGTGTCGTTTGTTTAGGGATCTATCTTTGATTATGGCTGCGAGAGAAACTGAAACCTGGGACAAATGTTGTAATGCTCCCCACGCCCTAAAGTTACAATGTCTGTACTTAATCAGGCTGCCCACTTAGTACTCGCTTCGACCTCGGCGAAACTTGGTATTTAGGAGGGAAAAGAATAAAGGCGTTGAATTTCGGGACGTTGTGTTTTCTTAGGTTGCGTTTTCTTCCCCCCGTCTAGCTATTCTTCTGCATACCGAGACCTTAGCAGAGCAGCCGTATTCAGAAGTGATGCATGCACGCATCGGCCCATACTTGCTAGTCTAATGACCGACAAGGAGCAGACGACGGTGGTAAACAAGTGGGCATGAGTAAAGTTTTATGTTTTCAAGGTTAATAACTAACAAATAAAAAAAATAATAAAAAATAGCAAGGGGCCTGAAGGAACCTATTTAAGACGCACAGTCGCGCAATGCGGGTGGAATGGTGCCGTCACGTACTTGAGGACGGAGGTGCGACGTTGTTGATTCTCATAGCCGTCGTGGTTGGCATCGTGGATGCCACTGACAACCACCACCAGTGATCAGTAAAGAGGGTAAGCGTGGTTAAAGTTTCTAAAACTATCCAACATTACGCGTAGCAACTGGATATACTGCCAAAGTGGGATTTCGCATAACGTGAGTAATGTCTGAAAACAAGTCTTTCGAGCAGACGGCAGGAAGACTCTCCCTTCGTCGCATAGTTACTGGCAGGCCAGGATGCCGGGATCTCTTCTCTCTCTGTGCTGCGCGGCCAACGGGAAGGCCCAGCTTCCCTGGCCTCGCGACAAGAGCGGAGAAAAAAATTTTTCCTTCGTGCGCGCGGCGACAACAACGGACAAGGTCTAAATATCTGCAAAGTGTCGCCCATAAAGCTACTGCTTCAAAACAGGATAAAGGGTTGGGTTCTTGAACCGAGAACCAACCTCGCGTGCAGTTTACAGGGGTATTCCGGGTGAACAGACAATAAGCCGTAGGCAAAGGTTTCTTCCCGTGAAGCTCGGATATTTCTCATTTGAGGATGGCTCCAGTTCAGGGCTTTTCAGTCTTCTCCGATTTCAATCAAATCTTGTCTCGGGGGTTACTTTTCGAGGTTTATCGACATTACACGGAACACTAGTCATAGCCTGCTGCAAGGCTAAACAACATTGTGCCCTAGCAGTCTTAGATTTGCTAGACTCTCCATACTGTGCCGTTCACTTTCTAAAACGGTCAATCGTCCACGGCAGATCTCGACCTCGGAGACATCGTCCCTGGGAGCCAAGCCACTGTACATGGAACGCCTGCTGAGAATCGTCAAGAGCAAGTTGTTTGCCGGCGAGGTGGACATCATGATGAAGTTCACACTCAGTGCCCTCTGGAACCTGACGGGTACGGACCACACCGCTATGACGGGTTCTTGGAGAGACGAGTCTTTTCGATTCGGTCGTGAGAATCGCCGTTTCGAGGCGGTGCTGTGGCGGAATGCAAACATCGGCAATTCTGTGCGGCATTGCAGAAATCACAAACACGGTTTGAGAGCACGTTTTTTTTACGGAACCAGTTGTGCGGGCAAACAAAGAATTTTTTCGGTGTTACATTTTCATGCTTGCCGCGGACCAGTTGCGAGCCGATGTATGGGCAAGAATTTGGAACGCCGTGTATCTGTCGAGAACTTGGGTGTATGACGCCCTGAAACAGTATTTGGGGCAAGTGAAGAGAGTTCTGAAAATGCATAGCTGAGAAAGGATGATCACTGCCTCTGCACCAAAAAAGTTGCGAAGAAATCTACAACCAGCATTAGTACAAAAGGGTTCTTTCACCGTAGACCGATAACAGCGTTTGCCCTTTAAGGTTATGCTGTGTGGACTGCCTGCATTGCCTATTTCTTATGAAAACAGTTGGCGTAAACTTTGCACATGTTATTTATAAGAACGAAAGCGTAGCAGTTTTCACTCGAGGCTTCTGTAGTTTGCCGCGGCATCGCTCGATAAATCCCGCTGCAAATGGACCCTTTTCGCGGAGGCAAAAGCTCGAACTATGGCTGGCGTTCGGAAGCAAAGTTGCACCACCTCTTCTCATCTCGTCCGAGTCACTGAGGAGGCGGGAGGAGTAGCAAAACCTCCCCTCTGAGCACCAGTTGCACTTCAAGCTTTCGCCGCTCAATGTATTCTTTATGTGGGAAAAATCCGTTGTGGCCTAGTACACTGGCGATTGTTCGGAGTTCTCGGTTTCTGACGGCTCGACCTCTCCTTTTTCCGGCTTTCAGACGAATCCCCCAAGACGTGCTCAGTCTTCCTTTCCATGGGCGGCATGGATCTCTTCCTCAATGTTCTCGAGGTTTGGCCGTCGCACATCTTTCGCACGATTACGTGACTGACCGGGGAGGCATGTTTCACGTATGCATGAGATGGAGTGACACATTTTTCTCCCTTGTCCAGCTCTTCCTTGGCGAGAGTGCGGTGGAAACCAAAGTCCTGGGGCTTGTTGTGAGCATAACTTTTTCTGTCCTTGTCGTTTGTGCTACGACTACCATAATCGCCGATTTTAAGATTCCTAGGATGCGTCACGTCCTGCGTGACTACAGTCACGCAGGACGTGACGCATCCTAGGAATCTTAAAATCACTCGGAAGCCAAGGGTTTTAATTAGAATGCTGAAGAATTTATCGAGCAGTGAAAAGTTTGAACATAATGAGCCATGCAAACATGAACCGAAGTTTCAAACTTTCTTGAGAGAAATGTCTTTTTTAATTTTGAGGTTTTTGGTCTTAGAAACTAATTAGTACACACCATTACACCGAATTTGATAACCTTATGCCAAACAGTTAAATATTTTCAACTCATTGTGAGGCAGTAACAAAGTAAAGGAGTTTAATGTTTAAATGCATTTTTCTCAGTTCCACTTTTTGCTGCAAATTTCGTACAAAGGAATTTTTTGTTTGAAGTTAAAAGTATTCTTATACTACAATCAAGATATTTCTGAACTAAAATTTACTGGGGAATTGGGCTACCTACTTCCTTTCATTCTGAGTTAAAGTCCTATATGAAAAAAAAAATTGAAAGAAATACATAGGACAGATATGCGTCTGATATTTTGAGGTATAATAACTCTTCGTAAAATATTTACATTTGAGTTTTAAAAACTAGATAGCCCAAAGTCCCACACCCCCCACTTTATATTCTAGCAGTCAAAATGGTGCTTATCTTAATAGCTTCATATTCATGATTTCTTAACAAAAAGTGACATATCTTCTTATGTGGGTTTGTCCTAGAGAGCTGAAAGTTTGCACAATACACCTACATCTCATGTTAAATCTCCCCTGGAAATTGCATTCCGGTCGCTTGAGTAGTTCAGAAGTTAAATCCCTAGCCGGCGGCTAAAGGGATACTGAACTGAAATTTTGAGCTCACAAAACGAGGCTGGACTGGTAGGCGGTACGCTGCAAAGCCCAAGAACATCACTCATACAGCAATATCTCTAACGGAGCGCCATATCTTTGGAAAAGAAGTGCGCGATTGAACACGGCGAACGAGGTTGACGAGACAAATCACGATTCTCATTCCCTCTCCTCCTCGCTACATCCCGTCGAGCTGGTGAATTGAAACGAGGAGAAGAGAAGCAAGGCCGCTTCCACTCATTCCCAAATGTTTCCGGAGGACCATGACGTCATAGCCCTCGCTTGATCACACCCTTCTTTTCCAAAAGTATGGCCATCCATTAGAGATATCGACGTACGAGTGATGTTTTGGAGTGCACAGCATCTCATTCAACGCTTCTGTGACCTTATTTTGCAAAATCCCAATTTCGGTTCAGTATCTTTTTAAGCTGTCCGTGGTTGTATGTGTGCGCCTCATTGTGGCACTGCAAAGACTAGTACTGGTGTCGAACAAAGACTAGTATCTTGCGGATGCCGGTGCAATAGACGTTGTACTACAAACCGTTGTGAATGCCACTCTGAAAGCACCTTTTTCAGTTACATTGCCTCGACGTCTTATTCGGCAGAAGGCGTGGAATGCATGTCCAATACCTCGTTCCTACGGAAAGGATGTCCCCATTCTGCGACTTTGCTGAATTCAGATACAGCACCCAAAAACGGGAACATTGCCACTGTTGAAGTGGAAGTACACACAACTCTATCCGGAACTTCCTTTAGTGCTTCTGTGGCACTCCAGAAAATACAATTACAGATTATGGTTCATCTGTAAGTAGTTTTTGTAACTGCCCTATATAATTACGGATCATTCACAACGGCGCGCCCTTTCCTCCACAGAACAACATAGCCGAGGTGCCCCATCTACGCAGCGACCTCATGAAGGACAACTTCCTGGGAATCCTGAGGTGAGGCGGCAACGCAATCGTCTTGCTCTCGGCGCGGAATGGCGTCTGTGCAACCGCCAAATCGCCGGGCAAAAAAGAGTGCCATCCAATGACCCGCCTTGCCACTCGTTTCCGCAGGAACCTGCTGCATTCGAGTCAGATCGACGTAAGCTACTTTGCGGCGGGCATCGTGGCGCATCTCGCGAGCGACGGGCAGGAACGGTGGACCGCCACCTGCGTTTCGTTGAAGGAGATGCTCCGCGAACTGGTGAGTCTAGTTCGGCGTCTGTTGACTCGCCAAGCCGCAAAGTGTGCCAATCGGTATGATGCAGAGAACACCGTGTGCCAAGAAAAGCCATGCAGCAGTGACCTGAAGTAATTTATGGCCCGAATTGGTTAATGCGTTCTCGCAACCAAAATGAAGGGATGCGATGCAAAAAGACCGAAAGGAGTTCTATGCCCGGCGAGCGTCGGAGTCGTATACACCGACAGGCAGAACCCTGCAGGTTCTTTAGGACGTAGCGTGTGGAGCAGCAGACCGTGTTTCAGTTAAAAAAATACTAAGTGCGTGCTACAGTTGCAAACTCGGCAGTCTTTCCTTCAGGTGTCGTAGTTTGGGCGTTTCTCGCTCTTGAAATCGCTCAACTTCTCCGCTTCCCCGCATTTCAGGGAGAAGTCGTGCAGGGTTGGAAGAGTCCCGACACCGAGATGGTGGCCTACAGGCAAGTAGCACATCCCTATATTTGGTTTCATTGAAAAGTATACATTGGAGACGCCGACGTCATTCAGTGAAAATCGGCTCACACGTGCACCTTGGTGCTGAAATAACAAAGTCAGCACCATGTCTATGGCATTGAGTTATCGCTGCACTGTATTTGTGAACAGGTTTAAACACGCATATCCACAGCCACATGTGTATGTGCGTGCGTGTTTTTTCTTTTTTTTTACGATTTTTTATGCTAGGGTTTTTGCATTGTTTGCGAGCTCGCCTGTGCCCTCCACTATCTTTGTAAAACGCTTTGTTTCAAAATTGGGTCACCTGGTACAGTGTAGACCGCATATAACGTATGTCGCGGGAGTCGCGAAAATCCGCACTATAAGCAGTACCGCGCTATAACCAAAACATCAATTTTTCAGGCCAAAATACATGCCATGAGACAACTTACCTAATTTATTTTATGTTAGATGAAAAAATAAAGCTTAGTTTGAGGAAAGTCTTTATTTCACCAGACTGGTACACTTCTCTTTTAAGTGTGTCAACTTTGAAAGAAATGAGCGACTTTTACCTGGCGCAGCCTTTTAACGGCGTCGCTGGTTGCGGACGGACGTTGCGAGCGTTCAGGGTTGCTAGCCCTAATCACTTTTCTCCGGTGATGAAGACGCGTGAAAATTCGCATCCATTATACGGTACGCGCCAGTAATACCTTTAACTTTAGCACAGGCATGAAATGCTCCAAATAAGAAATCCGGGCGATGTTTGAAAACACAAATGCTTAGAAAGCACCACTGTAGTCGAAGTAAACAAACACAACGACAGGGGCGTTTCTGCCGTCTTGAGAGTGCCGCCACGACATCGCCGCACGAGTAGGTGGATCTTCCCTTCTAGTACGTGCTGGGTTATCATAGCGGCACACAACAAAAATTCAGTCAATGATAGCGCTTTTACGCGGAACCATCGCAACCGACGCCATGTTTGCAGATAGAAGCCGGCCTGCGACCGGCATGCAACGCGCGCGAACACTTCTCCTCGACCTGCGATTGGTCTGTCGTTGCGGTTGTTTCCAACGCCAACGCGTCCCTCCGTCGCTATGGCAACTGAAGCCTCTCTCTTCGCTTCTCTCCGCTTCTTGGAGCCACGACTTCAAGCAACCTCCTTGCCCCGCGAGTGCCGCTTGCGGCTAGCCAGGCTAGCGCCGTTATCTAGTGTCGCACAGGGAACCCTGCTGGCTCTCAATCGGTGCGCTCGGCGCGCTGTTCCAGAAACCGCACTATAACCGGTATTTCCCTTCACGCGCCTGCATTTTAAGCGGTATGTAATTACATGGAGTTCTATGGGAGGCGAACCGGTGGTTTAAAAAAGCCGCGTTATATGCGGTCCTGCACTATAAGCGGTTACGTTGTAAATGGTCTATACTGTACTGGCCTTTAGCCGAGACACTTCGGAGGAGAGCCGGACGTGCCGTGCTCGCCCTTTCATGATACTGTTATCCTCACGATTAGCAGTTCACTATTGCCATCATTATGCACCCCTGTTGCGAGCACCTGATCGACTAAAGAGCTTATAAATGCGTGGCATTTGTAGGGCCAGCGGTTAGTGATTTGGTGTCCGTGTCGTGTAGGTTAGACAGTGAAGTCATCGCGTAAACACCGTAATGACATTGCAGACACTGCTATGTCATGGTATCCCACGTCAGGTGGCACATTGACGTGATGTCACGTCGCCCCCCGATGTTGTAAAGTGCTATTAATGCGGAGCTATGAATGCAACACATTTAGAGCGCCTTTGGGGTGCCCCAAGGGGACAGGCAGTTTTTTCTCTGGGTTAGTGCAAAGGGAGAATGGTTCACTAAGTGAGGCTACTGTTGATTTGCTTCAGGTCCTTCAACCCTTTTTTCCCGCTTCTGCACTGCTACACCGCATACGAAGTCCAGCTGTGGGCGGTCTGGGCCATGCACCACGTCTGCTCCAAAAACCGTACGTATCGAATACATTAAGTCTTTCGTGCAGGACAAAAGAAGCAATTCCCACGTGCAGTATCATGCTAAAGACTGGTTCACACATTTGTGTTTGGCTGCGATTGACCATGGGATCGAAATAATTTCGATGGTATTACAAGCGACCGTTTCTCGTAGATAGTGCTTTGATTTTATCTCGCAAATACTGCAAAACCTTCTATCTAGTTAGTAGACACAGATTGGTGGTGTTCCAAGGTTATCCAGTAGACGGTGCTAGTGTGCTCTCTCATTGTAAGCGGCCTCAAGCAGCCTGTTAAAAACTATGTCCTCTGAAAGCTTTGTCGAAAGAATTCTTAAAGTGTGCTCGGCCCATTTGACACCTGCAAAGTCGACTTTGTTCGCTACCAGACCCTTCTAGCTGGGACTGAATCACGAATGCCGTTTAGTTGCGGCACGTTTAACCAGGCACTGCATTATGCAAACTGCCTTTTGGGGCCGTGGAGGCATTTTAATAAACGGTACACAGCCTCAATCATGCCTTATAAGGTTTCAATTAGTAAATGTCGCATTTCGTCCCGGGACGAGAGACCAATAGTCGTTTTTTGAACGAAACTACTATTTCGGGGCATGAAAGGATTTGGACTGGCGATTTCCCCCTCCGATTGTTTTGTGGGCGACGCCATTTCGATGCAGAGCGGAGCAGGTGCAATGGACCTTTCTGGAAATGCCGCCAGTGCCACCAGTGAGCGCTCCTGGGCATTATGGGAACTGTGAGGGTGTACTGCCCCTAAGCCAAGCCAAGTCTAGCCTAGTTGACCCTTTGCATGCTAGGCGGCGCACGCTATCGCCCGAACTGCAGCACCATTCTCAATCCATTCATGCATCTAGGCAAGCCGACGGTCTTCAAACTTTGGGACGAGCTGCGTTTTGCTTCGTTTAGTGGGGAAGGAAAGTAGAATCTACCTACTAGCTCCACTGATTCCCGTAGCAAAATATAAAATAAACATCTTGGGTGCACGAGCGATACCTTGCACTTTTAACACGTAACCCATGCCCGATGGCCCATTAAAAAAAACAAAAAAACGATGGCCCATTTAAAAAAGGGATTGAGGGATTCTCTCCATGTGGGCAACGCAGCACAGGGCACTGCAATGATTGCTGTCTGCCGTACACAGGGACCCAACACAAACGTAGGCAATCTGGTTCTCGTAGGTGGTACAAGCAGCAGACGACGGAGTAGCGACCTTCGCTGTTCCCATAATACCTCACGCGCACCCCTTGAGGACACATACTACTTTCCAGATAGGTCCATTGGCAATTTTGCGGTTCAGAAATGGGACTTCCCGAGTTTTAGCCGTGGCATCAGCAATATCGATTGGCTCCTACAGGACAGAAAAGCATTTCCTACAATTTTAAAGAAAGCTGGGGAATACCACGATTTTAGGCACCGACACCGAAGTGGCACTAACCTGAATGTCTTGTTTCACGCCCACAGCCAAGCGCTACTGCACGATGCTGGTGGAAGAAAAAGGCATGGACGTCCTCCAAAGCCTGCTGGACTCACCCGCCACGCACGAAGCGGTGGCCACCGTCTGCCGAAACATTGTTGCCGTCGTCGAGACGCAGCGTAACTCCGCTACGACGACCGTCGCAAGCGCCACATCGCTTTCCGACGCCGCTGCACCCACGACCATCCTCCAATGACACCGACGCGGGAAGTTTCTAGATGCCGCAAGACCAAGGAAGCTTTAGACAAAGTAATTCGTCGGTCGGCTCTTTAAAAAAGAACAACGGCAACAGAAAGTTTGAAACGAGAAGAGTTTTCTTCCGTGCACGTGTGGCTTCCGGCCTCGTCCCCCAGCCCGTTTCGTTGTTATTTTCGCTCTAGGGTGGTTTGCTACCGCAGCCCTTCACCCGTGGAAAGACTTGGCGTCGCTGCGACGAGCGAAGTGTAATTTATTTGTCGGAGTTTCCGAGGCGTGTAGTGTACTTACAGGGAGGGGCGGTTGTGTGTTGCGCGCGCATTTCCTCGAGTTGAGTTTTCTGAACTACGTTCTCGCCGCAACTTGGCATGGAGTGAATGCTACGGCCCCTTTGAGCCAATCGGAGCAACGGAAGCGAAGCAGGTGACAGCCCTTACGAAGGGTACAGGGATGGCAGCGTAACCCAAACAGTTGGAGAAGAGGGAAAGGAGGAACTCCCCTTTTACCCAAACCCCTCTTCGTGCGTCCAGGACGTCGCCTTTCTTTCGTAGAAATTTCGAGCTCGTCGCTCATAACTCCTACAAAAGCGGCTTCCCTCCCGCAGCTTCGGTGTGTAAAGTTGCATCACTGTTTGACGCGCTGATTGGCTCAAAACGAATGTAGGGTTCGCTCTTTGCCAAGTTACGGTGAAACTAAGTATAGCCACCTGCCCTGCCTCCTTTTGTTTGTTCGTTGCAAAGAGGGCATCAGGAAGTTTTTGTGAAGATGTGTTGAGAGGGAGTTTTGTTGTGAAAACCAATGTGATAAAACAAGGAGGGAGAGAGGGAGACCCCATTGTTGACGATTTATGCGTTTCTCGTACGAAGAAGAGTCTATTTCTTGTTGTGAATAAAAAGAAAGTGTCCCTATATACACGGAAAGTTTTCGTTATTCCTGTATTAGTTTTTCGCTCTCTCTCTCTCTGTCTTTATGATGGCAATGTTTTTTTTTCTTCTGAAAATACGAGCTTCTTTAAATTTTTTCCACCCACCCTGGTGAAACCAAAGACTCCCCTTGAACGCATAGCTAGCAATGTGTGCAACGGTTACGGGAAAAGAAAAAAAAAAAGTTGCATTTGTGTGTTGATTGACAAGCCGGGATCCGGTTAGTGCGTGTGTGCAAAGGTGTTCCGCAACGTTCCTCCATGCTCATGCTCAAAATGAAATCTGCAAAAAAAGAAAAAAAAAGCATGTTTTGTCCCCCCCCCCCCCCCCCCTCCAGCATTCTTGAATACTCTTGTTGCCGGGCAGCTGTTGTGGTCTTTGTTTCGTCCCGTTTTATCGAATTAGAAGACATGCCACATGGCTAACTCCTGTAGTAAAAGTCCAAACTGGAGCACAATTAAAAAGAAAAAAGAAAAATTTCACCTGTTACCAAAACAAGCGTTCTGGCGTGGTTTGTCTGCCGTCTTCATCCCCTCCGATGGCATGATTGTCGGCAATTATTATGCAATCCTACACACACTTCCATGAAATTTATTTTCTTGATCGGCGGTCAAACTCAAATATTTTAAGTGAGATGTGCACGAACGAACGCTGCTATCCAACTTTACGCACCGCTTTGCGGCCAGTCTTGACATTAGTGTTCTGCGGTTCCATTTCCAATAAACATTCTTGGCGAGAATTTGTTGGCAGCTGGCAAAAGAAATATTACAGAAGACACCTAGACATCATTGGCTGAAGAATTGCAGGATGAGACGTGTTACGTCCGTGCTTTGCGATTAATCCTTCTGTGTCCCCATCGGCCGACCCTGCAAACTCGTTTGCTGTGGAGCGATATTAAAAGGGCACTGAAGTCGATTCCGAGACTGTTCTTTTGTTGGTTGCAACTTAGTCTAGACGCTCTAAGCATTCCAACAAACCCGAAATCACAATCGTGCGTAGCTTATTTCCTCGTTAAAAGTGTGTTCAAAGATCGAGACACGCCTTTTTTGGGAAGAATTTTCTTCCGAGTGAAATGGTCGACGAAGGGCGCGTGTCGGCGAGTTGCAAGCGATGGCTTCGCCCGCGGAGAAAAAGAGGAGTCTTATCCGAATGTGTAACTATCGGACTCTTTTTGAAACGAGTTATAATATAATCGTTCGGAATCTGCACGTATTGTAGGGCTTTTTCATTGGTCCACACAATGTAGTCCGGGAGAAAAAAAAGTCCACATGTTTTTCTGTTGCCCAGAGATGAATATGCGGTTTTGTAATACAGGACTTTTTATACGTGGGAACTAACACACTTTAAACAATATAAGATCAAAAACGACCTTTTTCAAAAATGACTTGAGTGCCCCTTTAAGATGCTAGAGACTCGACGTGCCCAGTGCTTTTTGGGTCGTCGGTGACTGTATATGATGCACCTTTCATTAGCCAGTTTGGTTGTGTAACCCACAAACATTCACCAACAAAGTGCTCGTAGCTGGCTGTACCCAATTGCGAGACAGACAACAAAAATGAGCTCAACAGAATCTTCCGGGTTATCGATTTTCTTTTAATGGCTACGGAGAAACTTCCCATTCCAGACAAGAAAAATAATAAACGCGCACAAGCGTTCCGACAACGCACGCCAGCACTTTGTACACGAAGCCAGGTTCAAAAGTCTTTGGTTCGCGTCGACAAAAATAGGGTAAAGTCATCGTTCATCTAATACCAAAGCAGAAATGCCAGTGCCGAAAGGAGAAAAAAAAAGAGACACAAAACAGACGCGTTTCTAAAAGAAGGCGAGCGCCGCTACTAAAGATTCTAGGCAACGCGCGTCGGTTGGTGATATGCGTTTCGCCCAGTCCGCGAGTCGGGCCACCGCGTTTGGCATCTCGCTTCTGAAATGGCAGTATCTGCGTCTACGCTGGAGTGGCGAAAATCGTCCTGCCTCCCCGTTTCAGAACTCTGTGCACGTTCCTGGCGGTACCGCAGAGGAGAAAAAAATAGAAATGCAGTGTCGAGGGGCGAAGCCCCCGAGTGGTGGGCTCCGAACAAAAGACGGTGCAAACGCTGGAGGGAGCTAGTGTCGCCCCTGAGAGAGTGGTCGGTCGTCGGGAAATCCGGACGACCGCGGAGTGACCAGACCGGACACGCTCGCGTTTTGGAAACGCAGAGACACACGCAAACATTCTTTCCATGAGACAAACATAAAAGATTCGGCGAAAACGATCGTAGACACGCGGGGGTGATGCGAGAAAACAACCAGAAAGCTTCCACCTCCGATAAAGGGAGGGCGGCACTTTACGAGGTGGAAGGGTGAGAAAAAGGTTGGGGCAAATGGAACTCGCCGGGACAGCCGGGCTTTCATGCCGGAGGTTGATCCGCTGGCCCCTGGGTGACCCCTGACTAGGAGAAAACCGAGATATGAACTGTTCGTGCTTAACCGAGAAGGCGATTAGTGGTCCCAGCGTCGAGGAAGCCAGCCGTCTAGCTAGCCGACTGGCCACTTGGTTTCGATCCGGTCCTGCGAAGAGCGTTCGGATGACGACGAGCGACACCAATGGAGAACATTGTGCGTTTTTTGTTTTTTTTACACCGCAAGAAATGAGCACAACCGACATGCGACGACCTTGGGAGTGCCGCCACAAGCCTGCAAATCCCACGCAAGCAGCATCACAAACCAGACGGTCAGAAACTAATGCACCGACACACAGACCCCTTCAGAAAAACAAAAAGTGAGAAAACACCACTAGAAAACAAGTCGGCAGACATACGCGCACGCGGCGACCGTCGGTTCACGATACGAGCGTGGACTTTCATTAGCGTTAATGATCAGCCGCTGTGTCGGTTACGGGAGCGCCACAAATTAAGCTATGTGCAGGATGCCACAACCAGCATAAAGTGAGGACACAGCGCCTGCCTCGTCGTGGCAGCTTTGCCGGATCGAATGGTGTATTTGGTGGCTGTAAGTTTTGCAGCCGTGGGAGCCGTTACCTCTTCGCTCGGCGTCAACCATTTTGAGGTATGCTGTCAAGGCTAGCGTAGCTTTTGCAACGCCTCAATGCGCCCCCTTCGCACGAGAGTCAGCACGAAGGAGATGAGAGACAAAGCCGCACGCTCTCGCAGCAGAAGGGCTCTGGATGCTGCGCAAGCCCTGAGAACGTAGCACAATATAGTCGACACAAAGTGTAGTCACCTCTTCGACAATCACGGGCACGGTGTGCCGAGGGTGTAGCAACAATGCAACGGCAGCAAGACGTGTGCAATTGTGACGGCTCGCTCGCCGTGCTCCCAGTCAAACAGTGCTTGGAGGACTGTGGCACGTGCGCCGTGCCGCAACAAGGCCATAGCGATGACGGCTACGGCTGCGCTTGGTAGCCGCAACTCTTGTTGCACTACGTTTCGGCGGCGATTGCGAGCCTGGCATACATCGACGAAGTGACTGCTCCGAGATGCCCATAACGATTGCGATGCCGAGTCCGCAACCGGACGACGTTTGGTTGCGTAGCAGCGGTCCAACTGCGCATCCGGCGTCGTGGCTACGGCGGTCGGACTGTAGGAGCACACGTTACGATGCGACGGGTGGGGACACTATGGCAGCCATGGAATCGCAAGTCGCCGCACGCTATAATGGGTCCGTGTCGTGCATCAGGGGCAAGGTGCCGCAGTCGCCACCACGCTTGTGCACCACGTCGTGGTGGAACAGCTCCAGTCCGCCCGTTCGCACCGACGCGTGCGGACGCATAGCGCCGGAACCGCTGCGCGAGCTTGACGATCCGCTCGAGGAGGAGGTGGAAGAGGGGGAAGGCTCGTCCGGAATGAAGGCTGCCACCAGCAGGGCCAGCATGACCAGCAGGGCCCCGAAGACGAAGGGTGGTCCCGGCACAAACTGCAAGAGGAAGAACACTTTTTGAATCCTGGGGCATGTATTGGGATTTCTTCGCGGAGTAAAACCGTGGATCGAATCCGGGCCGCGATTGACCTCTTTGAATACGATTATGACCTTTCGTGCTCATTCGGGGTAAGACGGCCCGTGGCAAGTAAAGTGAGCGGTGAACTCTCATCACAAGGAACGGTAAAATGCGCAAACATGGCGTTGATGCGGTTTGCCGCCACCTCCGAGGACGGCGCAACCTGGCGGCCGGCGATATTGGTGGTAAACGACAGTTTTCAGATGCAAAAAGGACACTGCGTGCACACTAAACGTGTCTGCCCCTTGAAAATAATTGCATGTCAAGCACAAAGCTGTCCGAGTTTCGATGGGACCGTAAGCAAATCTTTGAGGCGGCATCCGTGCGCGCACGAGATGCTTAACTAAGCCTCGGGTTTCCCCCCCTCCCCCTTTGCTCAACCGAATAAACTAGGGGAATGTGTAGAGTCGGAAAAGAAGCCTCGAAAGCACCTGCCAAGCGGTCGTTCGGTGTTCCGATTACACACTCCGCTCCACCTCACTGCAACTTGGGAAACGGAGAGGGCTACGGTCCCAGTGAGGTACCTGGTAACCAGCAGATTGGAGGGCGAGACGTATGCCTTGACTCTATTTAAGTAGTTACGTCCAGTGCTGGGGAAGCCTCTGGCAGGAGAGAAAGGAAGCTCACTTTTGTATGAATTTGGAATGACTGGTTAATCTTTAAGAGGGACAAAACTGCCACCGGGGGGGGTGGGGGCCTGACCGCTCTGTCTTTGCCATGTTACGGTGAAACGAAGTATAGCTTGTGCTTTCCAGGCAGTGAGAAAGTTAACAACTCTAGCAGACGGACTATGCTGACCAGGATGCTTCTGCACACCGACTATGCTGGCCAGACTGCTTCTGCACACTGATAAGACGTCACAACTCGGGACAGACTGACATTGTGCTGTACATATATCCTTAAAATCAGCTGGTTTACAAGGAGCTGGAGAAATCTGTCTAGCTGACAGTCTTACCCTGCTGAAAACAAACTCTAATGCTTTGTTTTCTTTCTTAGATGTGTTTCTTGCAATGCTAGTTTCCTTTCAAGCAAGAGGAGGGGCTTGCACCCTCTCCAGGGTTTATCCTCCTAAAGTGGAAAGAGTAGAGGGCCTTGCAGGAGGAGCTTGCCTTGCAATCGTCTTCATTTGACCTCCAAGATCTTGAATATCGAAATTATTTTTTAGTTTGGTGCGTGGAGGTTGCAGAAAATCATTTCCAAAGAACCGCTGAAGGCCCTCCTTCCCGGAGCGTGACATCACAAAAGGAGTTCTTGGAATCTCCGCTCCCGCGCATCCCTCAGTGCCTATCAAAGCTATGCACACAAACTCTCGCTGTTTTTAAAAAGGACAGAGAGACTGCACGACTGGTGCCAGTGCAGGGAAATATACCTGGTAACCTTGCCATTGCACGCGCGGCCCTCGAGCAACATGCGCTTGGTGGCCAAAAGGTCCTTTTATGACGCAACAACTGGTCGGAAGTCTCTCGTGATTAGTTATACACCAACTCATGTTTACAAACAAACCGGAACGCTCCTAGCAGACGCCACTGGCGCCGCGCATGCCGCTGTGGATGGTGGGCAAGAAGCTCGCGGTCGCCCATAAACAAACCATTGAATTGCGTTGTTGGCGGCGTCGGTGTGAGCCCCCTGCTCTTTTTCGCGTTGGAATTGTTGATTCTACGTCCTTCTAACAATGTCTGCCTACTTGAGCGGCTTCAGCAAAATCAACGAGGCTCGTTACACCGCAAAACTTTGCGTGAATAATGTGACATGTGGCGATTCATTCTGCGTGGACGCCGCAGAATGGGCGCTAAAGCCTGACTCCCATGACGAGATTCTGCTCGCTATTTTCAATCGCGATGTTGCTCGGCTGCAAAAGCGTGGACTGTAGCTGAGGTGGTGGACGTTGATACTGAAAACCGCAAGTAGAATCGGGTATTACAAGTCGGTGATGGCCACTGGTAACATTGATCAATATCTTGTATCTACTGTTTGCACTTAGCCTACGGTACTTACCCCAACCAACCTTCAAAAGTGTTTTGAGGCCTGCACTTACTTCTTATAGCAATTACCGGGCCAACAATTGGTTTACGGGCCGCTGACGTTTGAACGAGCTGACGACAGTTCGAACTCATGCGCATGAAGTGCGGGCAAGAAGCACCGCGTCCCGCGTCAACAAACCATTGGAATGTCATGTTGTCGGCGTCTGTGCGAGCCTGCATACTCTTTTTTGCATTAGAATTGTCAATTCTGCATCCTCATTGCAATGTCTCACCACTTTAATCGCCTGAGCAAAATAATCAAGGCTCGTACTCCGCTAAACTTTGCGTAAATAATTTGACGTGCGGCGATTCATTCGCCGCAGAATGGACGCCAAAACCATGATGAGATTCTTCTAGCTATTTTAGGTCGCGACGTCGCTCGTGCTGCAAAAGTGCAGAATGTAGCGGCGATGATAGACGTCGATACTGAAAATCGGAAGCGGGGACAGACCAAGCGTAACAAGTCGTTGATACCACTGGTACCAATGATCAACATCTTGTATCTACTGTTCACACCGAGCCTACTTAAGTCTTTTGAGGCCTGCAATTACTTCTTATTGTAATCACCGGGTCAAAGTTTGGTTTATGGGTCGCTTTTGTTTGAACGAGCAGACAATAAAAAGCAGACAAGTTTGAAAGAGCAGACGAAAGTTCGAACGATCAGGCGGTCGTGTGAATTTGAAGACGCACTTAACCCGCGGGTAGTCCCGACAGCTTGGTGGTTTTCTCTCGTTCGTGTTGGAATAAAACAAATACATCTGGCGACCACAAAGTGTTGCCCGCACAAACAATCGTAGTTCGACAGCCTCTGGTTTGCCCTTTTTAGGGCTACTATCCACGTTCTCAGACGAACGGAGGGGGCAGAAACACATGAAAACTGACCTTAAACCTTTCCAGACTCTCTTGGTACAGCCCCTGTCGCAGCATTTTGAAGAGAAGGCAGGTTTTTTTGTCTGGTTTTTCGCAAAAGAACACAGGAATGCATATTTCGCACGGCAACTTCTGCCCACCACCCCAGACCAGAAGTGCGCCCGACGCGCCACCACCGCGGCGTGACGTAGGAGAGTTGAGTTTGTGTATATTTTAGGGGATTGCTATCATGTTGTCCAGATTCATGGGATAAAACTACACTAAAATAAACCTCTCATTTTTTTTTTTTTTTTAAAGAAGTGTTTTAGCTTGCCTTTAAAGCCCCCCCAGTGCAAACCAGAGAAGCCCACCCCTTCAGTGCAGCATTTGCATTTTTACTCTCAGACGACCCACCTCCAAAATTTCCAAGACTACCTCCCAATTTTGGCTGGGCGCCTGCTCGGCGTTTTGTGGTGGGCGTCTCTCCAGACAGAGAAGTTTGAGGACCCTCGGCCTCGCGGGACGAAAAGAGCGGCTCCACTCACCCGGATCTCGTTTGGAACGAGGGATCCGTTGGCCTGTGCCCCCGTTCCGCTGGGCGGAGGGGCTTCGTTGAGGTCCACGTGGAAGAGGTAGAAGATGAAGCCAAACACGGCCGGGCCCAGCCCGTTGCAGAGGCCGCGCATGCCCGTGATCATGCCTTGCACCAGTCCTGCCGTTGGAGAGAGGCAACCGTTGAGCCGTCGCACCATTTCTGTCGTCGTCACAGTCTGCCTAGGGGCACCGGGGCAGTGGTCTAGCTTTTAACGGCGAGTGGCAGACAATACTAACCTTCGGTAGACCAGTGACGGTGGTCACGTGTTAACTTTAGCACATGCCAGAAGTATTGGCGTACTGCAACCAGTCCCATTTCCCCTTAATACAGTAAGCAAGTCTGGTTCCAGTAATGCTTCTAAAAAGAATCACGGGTCTTTGAGCGTTTCTATTTATAGGAAATATCCGGACCGTTTTACACTCAGTGGATTAGTCCTCGAGATAATTAAAACATTTTTATTTGTCTTAGATGCTGAGATATCCCTCCTCCAAATCGGCACTTCAATGCAAACTCAGCCTGCATAGATATTATAAATTATTATTATGGCACTAATATTGATCCGCAGAATTATGAACTTAGCAAAATAGCTACAGATTTCAAAATCGCCACTTAAAAAATTATTTTTTGCAACTTTCTGCTACCAGGGATTTCGTAGGTCACCCTTTAATTTAATCAGGTACAAGTAGAGTTTACTTTCGAGTCCTTTCTGATGTTAAAGTTACGGGTATGCACCTATTAGTTGTTCTCTTCTTGACATTTGCTTTTCCTTTTTACATGTTTTACATCTAATGAACTCATTGGCATTTGTAGTTCTTTTGCACTGCACCCCAGTGTTGTTTTTTTTCAGGTTAAGTTGCAAAAACAACAGCCCTATTGTTGTTTTTTCATGCGTTTGTTGCTTCTTTCATTGAGCATTGCTACTTTTCCCAGCCCCCTCCCCACAAAATGTAATGTAATGAAATGGAACTACTAACAATCTACCCTAACTGACGTTCTTCTGCTGTTATGTAGCAAACGCTATCCCGTGACGCAACCAACCAAACCCCACGAAGCACACCTTTTGTCCCAAAGCACACATCTCTCCTCACAAACAGAAATAAATTATTTTTGGGGTGGGGTGCCAACACGGCACGAGTCCACACCAAACTCTACCTCTTAGCAGAGGCGCCTCCAGTCTCTCCCTTCTGAACATTCACGTCCAGTGTGTAACCGAAGTGACGATCTTGTCGGCATGCGAACAATAGGCTTGTTCGATTTTCTCGCACCTCCTGCACCACATGCATGCTGCTGTATATGTTTTACGAGTGCAACCTACCTTAATTTTTTAAGGCCCGTTCACACTCTTGCAACCGAGTATGACCGAGAGAGACAAGACCCGTTAAAACCTCTTAAAAATTTCTTAGGACGAGAGAACACACTGGCATGCTGGCGCAATCTATGCGGTGACTCTGGAACTGCATTTCACAAGAGCAAAGGTTTTATGGGATTTCCGAGGTCAAATGTGCGAAATACCTATGAGAAAGGTTCGTTTATAACGTTGACAAAAGTTTTTTAAGCCAAGAAAGAAAGGATAGTGCACGAGCGAAATGGAAAATATGCCGGACTGCCAAGTTTACACTGCTACCCAATAGATGGCGCCAGTGTATCCTCTCGTTTTAAGAGGTTCTAAGACACCCGGTTCCAAGAGGTCTCAAGTGAGTGAACGGGCCTTTAAAGGCCAACCTGCAGAATCAACCTCTGCCGGGCAGAACACCAGTTCCCGGTTTCCTTCTCTCCACACCCTCTCCATACTCTTCCCTCCTTCTCTCCCCACAGGAGTGGGTCTCTGAGCAACTCCCCGCAGAAAGGAGTCTCCCTCTTTCTCGAATGGAAAAGAGGAATTGACGAAAAGTTTTACCCTTTCTGGCTGTTCGTTGCCCTTTAAAACACACGCTGGAAGTACAGTACCCTGCCCGTTTCTGCACCAATGTAGGCTGGCGCAGGCACAGTCTCCCACGATATGAGAGACCCACTCGCTGACAAAGTTCATGCGGCAAGCTGAGCACAGATTGGCACTACACACACTTTATTTATAGAGCGCAAGCAGAACAAATGCTCACTTATTTCCTCACCCTAAGTAACGCGGCCGTGGCAGGTGCGTCTTTCGCATCGCTAGAGACTGTACAATCGAACGAGCCCAATGTTGCGCCCAAATGTTGTACACCTTCTTTACGAGCATTTCGACTCGAGAAAGCTCGGCAGGTCCACCCACCCTGTTTGTCTGCTTCGGCATGCGTTGACACGAAGGAACTGATGGCTGGGTACGAAATGCTGGCTACGGCTGCTAGGCCGCCGGCCGACCACATCATCCTGTAGAGGGGGGGGAGACAAGCGAGAGTGGCTGAGACTCAGGCTGCAGAGTAATTTTTTATGCACGTATTCAACGAGCTTGAAGAAGAGGTGGCACTTAGAAAAAGAGGGATACTACAAAACCCAAAAGAGAAAATTAAACGCAATTTTTCGACCCGCAAAAATAAACCATGCGTTGCAGAAAGTCGAAACTCCGTGAGAATGTGACGCTAGCGGTGGTGACAAAATGCGAAAGTTTGAGGACATTACGCTACCTGGATCAAAGGATAGGAGAAAAATCAAAAACTTCTTTATGAGTAGATGTCCACCTAATATTCATTGAGACAAAAATGATACAAGATGAAAAACAACACTGCACTAGTTGCAGTAGAAAAATCTTGTCGGCAAGAAATATGATAATCTTTTCCTTCTTTCTGACAAGCTTCTTTTTCACCGCTACAGCCGCCCACAATGTCATTTCTTGGTTTGACGAATATTAGGCTTAGGTGGAGCTCGGCTCATTGAAAAATTGTGTTTTTGTATTGTATCTTTTGATTCAGGCAGTGTATTGTTCTCAAACTTTTGAATTTTGTCACCACCACTAACGTTACATTCCCACGGAGTTCAGATTTTTTATGTGATGCGTGGTCTTTTGTAGGCCGAAAAATTGTGTTTCATTATCTCGATCGACTCCAGTATATTAATGGCTCGGCTAGCACTTTCGATAGCCAAGCCAATCAAGCACACTTTAGTGCAGTCCAAAGATCCCCCCCCCTCTGGAAATACTTAAATTTGAGAGAACAATGAACATGGAGGTCAGATATGAACAACAACCCTCCTTCACTCAAAAACAATGCTCCTGTAAGCTGGTTGACATATACAGTGCAGCACTGAGGAGCACTCTTGTCCCTTCAATATGCACTCGTTTATGGGGGCCAGTTAATATAAATGCCCCACTAACTAGGCAAAGCTTTTGTGGATAAATTGAGTAAATACGCACATTTCTGTCTTGTTAGAGGTGTCCATATTAATGAGGCATCATTGGAGCACAAAGTTAGCGCACATTAGCGATAGCGTCCACACTGCATTGTATGTGTACTGTATACGTACAATATTGCATACACTGTATGCATACAATGCACACATATATAGCATAAAGTCAGCAATGTGTCTATATCTCTGAATTAGCACTGCACTGTTTGTGGACAGGCCTTAGTTCGTGAACGCACATTTACATTACAGTCAAACCTGTTTATAACAAACTGTATAAAACGCCTGGATTCGTTCTATACACACAATAATTTGTTATATCAAAACTCTCTCATAACAAATTTGCACAATTTTTTTCATTATACACAGAGGGTGCTCAACATACTCGTAGATATGTTGGAGGCAACGACAACGTCCAATTTTTTTTCGCCAAGTTCGATGTGGCGAATGTTATGTCCGAAAAAGAATTTCACTATAACAGGACCATTAAAGCTGGTTACCTTGGGAGTGTGTTTAGAGCTTACCTTACAGTGTTCTGCAAGCACACATTGATTTTTATTTCTACTTTTGTACATTTTCCTAAACAAAACAATCAGTTGAAAGCTACACCACGTCCTGTCTAGATCTTGCTCGTTTTGTCAGTGTCCAGTAATGATGTACACTCTGCCTGAGAGCTGAAAAGTGTGCAGATGCTTCGCCGTCATCTAGAACAGTTAACTGCACCAGATTGCAGGAGGCCTAGAGAAGCGAAGTTTACGACGCTGAGGCTCGAATTGCAATGCGTCGACTTCGTGCGCGCCCAAATTCTGTTTGTTCCAAAACCATAAGTGACAATGGAGTTGATCGGCTGAGAAGCGCAGCGGTTGTTATGAAACCTGAAAGCTGATGGGGCGCTACAGTGCTAGGGCATGACTAGCAAGTGTAACTAAGTGGAGACTTCATGTCAGGCGGGGAGGAACCTCATCTTCATTGTAAGAAGCCAAAACGTCGGAAGTGCCAGAGCTCGCATATTTGCTGATGTTTGCAGCCGCTGGAAATTCTATACATCCATTGTGTAGTTCAATATGCGAGATATATTTTGCATGCATACTGATAAAACATTTTCGCGCATTCGACGTATGGGTTAATTCGCTGAGCTCGAGTTTGTTGTAATCAAGTCTGACTGTAGTGCGTCACAAAGCTTCACCTCTTTTAGTCACGAATCTTTCCCTCCTTTCACCTCAATGGGAAAGAAAAAAGAAACGGAAAACATGGGACGTGTTTTGTTTGCTGCTTACGGAAGGAAACAAATCGAGTCAAGCCAAGCCAACCCACATGGGCATCCTCGGTCATTAAGGGTGGTACAATGGAAAACCCGCACCGAACACAGCAGCAGAGTATTGACCAACGATCAACTCACCAGCGCTGAGAGCCGAAGCCATACCACATAAGCTGGAGCATCTCGAACAGCAGACCAACCATGATGGTGTGCTTACTGCCCACAGTCTTCATCAGCAGCGTCAGCACCATCGTCTGCAGAACAAGCACCAACAAGGTTAGCATTACTGACACCGCAAGATGCACCTCTACCTCGACTGTCTGACAGCATTGGTGATGGTTAAAACAAAAGCAAAATGATCAATGTTGGGTAAAGTACAATTAAAAAGTACTTGAAGTAAAGTACAAAGTAAATTAGGGGTTATGTACTTCAAGTAAAGTAATTCAAATACACCGAGTGCAATGTATTTGAAGTACTATACACTCCGTGCGGGAACTATAGGGGGCGCTTTGAAAAACGCGCGCAGCGCCGCTAGCGGTGGAGCTGGCGTTCGACTGTGAGGCGCGTTCAGCAGCCTGCGGCGCCTTTTCGCATGCCAAGCTGTGGCGGCGGAAGCGCGCACGGACGAAACTTTTGCTTTTTGAGCCGATAAGTTGAGGGTCGTTGCATGAGTGCTGGGGCAGAAGGGCATTTAGCTGTTCTCCACTTCTTATATATTGAGTTTGAGTCGTTATTAGGCGTAATTTCTCTAGTTGCGGCCGAAAAGGGAGTTGGAGCAATTTTCCGAAAAACAAGACGGCCGCCACTATAATTGCTCTGAGTGGGAAATTTATTTCGCTCGTCGCTGTAAACCTAGGACTGCTGGAACGATGATATTTGGAGGCGAGTGAGATGTTCACTATAAGTTTGTGCACGAAGAGTGCCAAGTTTCTTTAAGACTGCAGGTGTGAAAGTTATGTTTCTAACGAATAAATAAATAAAGCTGAACGGGATATCCAATATTGGACCCAAAATGTTGTGTCATAGCGGGCTGTGCAAATTGCAGATTTGGGCACACAGGTGCTTGGACTTGACAGTAACATGACACAGCCCTTATTATACAAAAAAAAGTGGCATAGGGAAACCAGGTAAAAATTTGGTTTGGGCGGCGTACTCAATGGGAACCGGTTTTGACCATGAAAAGGCTGACAAGAGAATATCACTTGTCGGGGGAGGTGGAGACTAGAAGTAGGAAGGAACTAGTGGACTGTACTTCCAATTGAAACAACTTAACGAAAGGTGGTTCCAAAGCCGAGAAAACAAGGTTGTCGGCCAACACACGGTTTGGCCGCCAAGGGCTTTTGCGGTCAGCTGTTGTGTAATAACCTGTTGTGCGAGGTGATGATTTTCGGCCCACAGGTACTTGGACATGACCGTCACCTAGCACAACACTTATTATAACAAAAGGAGTTGGCATAGCGAAACCAGGTGGAAATTTAGTTTGGGCGGCGTAACTAAATGGGAACTGGCTTTGACCGTCAAAGGCTGCCAGATTATACCACTCATCGTGGGAGGTGCACACTTTACAGGTAGGAAGGGACCAGTGGACGGTACTTCCAGTTCGAACCACTTTGCGATAGGTGGCTCTAAAGCCGAGAAAAAAAAATTGTTGTCTACAGAACTCGGGGTGTCAGCGTTTCCACATCCAAAAGGAGGCTGATCAAGAAAGAAAGCACACCACATAAACTTCCATTTTCAAACGTCGATTCTCCAGTGATTCCGAGTTTCAATTGTTTTCTTTAGATTTCCATTTGTCACTTTTTTTACCGTTCAAATCTTTCTTCATGAAGTACAGATTGCGTGCCATACTGGTCCGGAAATATCATCGACACGTACGATGGGAAACTTCTTTGGAGGGCATTCCTTCAACGAAATTCGCACTGCATACCCGCGAGTGTGGGATTGCATTTCAGTGCGAGCTGAGATATGTAGGCGTTATTGGTACGAAAACAAATGCAGAGCGCAAAGCGGCAGTGTAGAATATGTTAGCCGTGCCGACACAGTGGCAGACATGATCGGGAGACCAAATTTCTCGCGTCGTACGGCACAGCTCCATCGTTGTCGCTGTCCCATAAAACATCGGCGAGGTGAAAAACTGCAACTTTGTCTCCACGAGAAACGACGCATAACTATTGAAGCACTTAATGACGCAGCACAGGCAGCAATTCATGCTGTGAACCCAGCGCAACCGCACCACTCCAACTTCAATGCGTACCAACGTACGCGGCGTAGTTTCGGTTTCGTTTTCTCTGGGGTTCTCACTGCCTACCTTCGGTACCGGCCGCGCGGCGGCGCGCCAGTCGCGTCGCACGGAGTGTATATATGCAATGTACTTTCAAAGTAAAGTACATGTACTTTTTAACACAATCTTTCATGATACCCCTTTTATTCCCCTATTGGCCTCGAGATCGACCTAGAGGTGGCGCTACAGTCGCGCTATCATCATCATCAAAGCGGGGATAGGAAAACGGCCGCCCCATAGGCTCTCCACGGTCGCGCGCGAGACGGCGTAGATTCTTGCGTTTATTTTGTCGCATACTATCGGTGGGAAAACAATTCTAGCGGAAAAGGATGCAGTACTGTTCGGTGCTTCAGTGAAGATTGAATCGTGTTGCCAGCGTGCGGCCCAAATTTATATAATCGCTTCTGTGGGTGCGTCGTCTGCTCTAGGCAGACGTTGGAAAGCATGGATCACCACGACTGAAGCCTGTCTCTGGCTGAACTGGAGTATTTATGTTAAATATTTGTTACTTTTAAAATGGGTGTATCAGTTCATCAACGTGGAAAATAAAAAATAATAAATTCCAACCAAGATAACATAATACTGGTACTGTGGGCTGTGAAATCGCAGCTTCTGGGCTTTTTTTTAACGTCTAGCTTTTGCAGTAATAAAAATATTTAGAATGAAGATAAGTTAGCGCTGTATTGAAAATTACCATGCTATTGAGTTCCTCTGCCCTTTCACTGCACCATAATGTGGGTAAGGTTTTTGGAGTCTGAACAAATCTACTGCGTTGCGATGAGGAGAGAGTGTCTCTTCTAGGTTAAAATCTGCAAACTGCACGTTGGCAGCACAACTGAAACAAGTGAAGCAAACTGTTCTAATATATTTGCCGTGACTGTAATAAACGAGTGTAACCGAGCAACGCAACAATGTTTCTATTATTAAATGCTTTTCTCGGTAGTGCGGTAGTGCGCTTCAATTTTCTCGGTGAGGGCCGCGGATGTCAAGAGGCTAATGCTATAAATTTCTGGCTAAATAATCTTGTATTCAAAAACGGTAGACTTTGCAACCCAAACAAAAGACGCGCACCACGACACAGACAGCATCGGCCTCCGTGATACTCTTTTACTGATGAGGGCTCGACCTTCACGAGACTTTCCGATCACCCTCCGCCCTCACCTAACGCATATCGGGACTGGGCAGTTCATCGATTAACTCTCAGATTATTCGAGTAATGCTTTAATTGCAATTTTTTTGCCGGTTAATTGGAGTCTTGTGCTGGGGAAAGTCATCAGGGAGTAAAATATGCCTGCTTTAATATCTTTTGGCGTCTTTACTTCTTTTGTGACACAGGCTTGCACGTTAAACCACTTCAGCGTGCTTGTCATTTCACCGAGGGTGATTATTCTGTTTAAATAATAACTTAAAAATACTTCATTTTAAAAGGCTTCTGTGTTCATATTTATGTAGGACTCACAATGGTGAAGTTTAGAATGGGAATCCAATATGCCATTTATGACATAGTTAAACCAGTAAAAAAAATATGTAGTTTTAACGTCTTTCACGCAATATGACCGGGGAAAAATCAACATACGGATTAATTGATTGATTAGTCTATTGAAGGATAGCGATCAGTCGGGTTAATTTTCTAATCAAACCACAGACCCACTCAACATTCAATGCTCTATGAAAGCCACGGTTTGTGCGAGATAAGCAAAATACGTGGGACCAGCGATTGTATAAAAAAACAACATACTACTTCCGACTTAATAATAATCGCTTTGCTGAATTTCTACGCATGTCAAACGATACAGCACAACCTTTAGTAAGAAGAAACGGCAACAAAAACATAAAACATTTAATAAGGAATGTCAAGCTCAGCCTGAAACGGGCTTGCGTCGTCGAGATCCATGCTTCTGAGCGTGCGCCCGTAGCAGACGACGCACGGCGGTATCCCCGCTTTCGCGTGTTTCCAATTTCGGCCGCACGGTGGCGGCACGGTTCGATCTCGAGGCGAATTGGCGGCGTGCGCGATCTACAGAAGGCACTTCTCTGAAAAATCTGTCCAAAGCCTGAGTGTACTCCTTTGTGTTGTAGAGTCATGTATTATACAGTCCTGTATAATATTTGTTAATTTCTCTTTTTCTTTCTTTTCTTCTTTGCTTTTTTTACCTATTTTCACATACTTTCTTTGCTTCGTTTCCTTTTGTGCACCATGCTGAAGGCGTCATGCTGTTTGTAGGCACGTATCAAATAAATAAAAATAAATAAAATCATCATTTTCGTTTGCGACATCGAGGGTAGGACAAACCGCGCAGATCTTGGATCACTCGGCTCATCAGCTCGCTTCATGTGCTGTTTGGGTAATGCGTGGCAAAGCCTGTTTCACAGGTTGTTTATTTGATGAAGTGATATTTGTAGACGAGTTTGACGAGTGTGTTGGGTTAATATTCAATAATATCCAGCACTACCCCCCAGCAACTCCGTGTATCCTATTGGTTCCAATGTGTTCTGTGAGTTCTGGTCTCTTATCAGTTCCAAGTGGATCCTTTTTTTTTTTTATTTTTTAAACCAGTAAACAAACATTTCCTTAAAAAAAAAAAAAAAAAAAAAAAAAAATCAGCAGGAAGAAGCGGTGGCTGGCTTCCGGAGTCGCTTCAACTACACCCCTGCTTCATTCGGTCGACGTGGAACGTGTGAAGAACCCTGCGATTGAAGTCTGTTAAATCTAGTGAGTCGGTGACACCTGCTATGAATTACTATTGTTTGTATGTTTAACTTTGCGGACCCAAAGAATTGCACACAAGTGGTGCGCTCCTCAGCGGGCGACTCTAAATTTGTAAACAATTTTTACTAAAAGTAGGATAGAACAAATTAATAAATCGCCTGAATTCGGCGGGCCATAAGCGACGATATAAAGTTATTAAAAGTTCAGCTTTCATTTATTTTTTTTTAGCAGAAGTTGAAATGTGGCAGACTTCTTTGCCACGTATTCGACGCAGGAGGAGCTAAGTGTCCGGTGCTGACAAGCATTTATTTGTTTGCTTGTCAGCTACTGTTGAGTCACACTTGGATAGAAGCAATGGTATGGGCAAGCTCAATGTAGCTAAAACAAGTGTGCACTGGTTTGCAACACAACCGTACGTGTGTGCACAGCTAAGATGACAGCACGTCACTTACATCGTAGCAATGTCGAGTTGATGGCAGCGTCCGCGTTTCTTCCTCAGGCGATTAACGGGCCTTGGCGAAGTTTCGAAAAAATCTTGCTCCAGAACCGAGGAAAGCATGCAACCTTTTTCGGAGGTGCGCATCTTTTTCGGTCGCATTCACGCAGGGCATCCGTTTTTTAAAACCTAGTTTCGCAACACTAGATTTCCCAACAGGACGCACCGTGTGAATAGACCATCAAAGCCCATAAATTCAGTTAACACCAGAAATAGACTATCGCAGAAAGTGGTTTAGTGCCCCTTTAAGGCCCTTTCGCACAGTTGCATTTGACTATGTATGACTATGTTGCGAAGACTTATGTTAAGTTACGATTGCAAGTCACCGCTACGTTTGTGCCTCGTATGGTGATGGCAACCAATTCAAGGAGTAGCTTTGCACACGACGTACAAAGAATGGATGTCTCGACGACTGGTGGTCACATAACGACAAAGTCAAATACAATAGAGTGAATGGGCCTTTACTGTACCCGCTCTGGCAATGGCAGTACTCACCTGTGCAATGACAGACAGAAGTCCCACAACAGCGATGAAGAGAGCGACTTCCTCGGCCGAGAACCCCATCAGCTGAAATGACACAAAGAAACCAAATCAGAGTTGGCCACGCCACGCAACAGACTCTGGCCAACGTCGACCCGAAACATTTTGTGCCTACGAAGCATGAAAGGTGTGCACAAGACTGAGAAAGCCCTGCATATGACAGTGGTTGAGGGTCAGCCAACGACCAGCACTTGCAAGATACATACACGAGGAAAAAAAAAGCTTGAGTAAATAATAAAATACCATTCCCTTTGCATAAAGTCAGGCATGCTCATTTCATGTAGGCTTTCTTTCATCACAGAGTAACCTATTACAGCAACAGCCGTTATTGGAAAGGTTTTTCAGCGGAAAGGGTTTTTCAGCATTTCGAAAGTTTTTTTCACCTATGACAAGCCCAAGTGCGTTTCTTACGGGGTTGTCATAGCTGGGAAATTTCTCCGCAAAATTCAGTGGGAAAATTTGCCCGCTTCTTTTGGCGGGAAAACTTTTTTGTTAACAGCCACAGTGTTGCGTTACAACATGATGTCACATGTCACCGTGGCATCACGTGACACTATGACTTGACACTGCGATGCCGCAGCGTGCGACGCCATGACGCCACATTAAGCTATGGTTAGTTTGTGTGCAGTGTGATCGGGTGTAGTCTTCGTGCCGCGAAGAGTACAGTGTCTCGGTTATCGTTAAATTTTCTTTACAGGACTCGGCAAGAAACCAAGATTTGAACTTGTCTTTTTAGACTTCTAGAAGGAATTCATATTGAGAGGCTCTCAACTGCATACAGCTACGTGGATCGAACCAGAGTGCACACAGGGATGTTATTCCGAAGCCAAATGAATGTTCGAGTCGTCGAGAGACGATATCTCCTCAGTGCTCCGGGAATGTCAGGCGGCACGGGCATCCGCCTATTGTAAGCAGGTGCCATACGTTCTGGTCATTTTGTTTTTCTTTCGTCACGCGCACTCCCAAAGAAGTTTGTGGTTCTCAGGGCTGGTGTTTATGCAGCCCCAGCGCCCAGAAAATTCCAGCAACCGACTCCCCATCTCTCATGGCCCCGTGGAGGCACCGCTGACAGGCACCGGGCCGTCTATGGCATCAGACAACAGCCGAGCAGTGCGGAAGACAAGGGCCAAGCCAAGCAAGTGCCGATCGGCGTGCAACACTCTGAGCGTGTGCGTAGGCAGGGGGGCGTGATACTACCCTTGGATGTGTATTTTATTGATTTTGTTTATTAGAACTGCAAATTGAATCATTTCTGTGTATCACTATTAAACAGAAGGTTTTACTCCACCAGTGTGAACTTATTTTTCGCCTTCAAGAAGGAAAATCGCCAACACTTGGAGCCAGACAGGGAATGAGAGCTCACCAGGCGCAGGTAGACGAAGAAGCAGGAGTACTGGCCGGCCTCGGGCAGGTAGGACAGGAAGACCGTCACGCACAGCATCAGGATCATCGGGTCCTTGCCCACTTTCCGCAGGGCCTGGGATCGTCGGAAGTGGAGAGTGAGGCAGGGCTCTCGACCAACTTTTTGAGACATTTAAAGAATAATCAAAGGATGTATAAAGCACCCACTTCCCATTTTAAACAAGCACAAAAATACCGAAATGACACATCAATCACCCGATCACTGTGGGCGGCCATTATCTCCACGACATGTGGACAGCACAGGCATAGCCAATGCATAGCACGGGTGAAGCGGCTTTAGTGACAAAAAGTAGATGGTGCGTAGTCAATTAATTTTAATTTTTTTTCTCAATAAACTGTATTTACTTGCATAATGAATGTACCCCCCACAATAATCGTCACCATCAATATTTTTTTTTTTTTTTCCCACGCGGCTATTAGATCAATTAAGCCACCAAGCGGTTAGGCCAAGCCATGCCAAACCAAGCATGGCAGCACACGCGCACGAGTTATGGATGGAAGTGGGAAGTTGCGGGAGCGATAAACAGCATAACAGCACGGCGCGCACGGCCAACAAAATTGGGGTTGTGGAATCGCCAAGCCCGTCCGTCGGACAGCAATCGACCTGTGGCAAGTGTTCCTTTCCTTTGTCTTTGTTGTCATGCTTTGTTACATCTACACCACGTTTACACCGTCGACACAAATGATGTCAATGATGTCAGTGAACATACCGAGGCCTGTGGTCCGTTTCCGGACGGTGAAGTCGCGAAATTGGTTAGGCCTACTGCTGCCTAGGAACGGTTGTCTCAGTTTTTGTGCACAGTGGCGCTCACGCAAGAACGGGGTCGAGCGTTGTAGGGTCCTTCTTCACCGGCGCAAAGAACGCTGGTTCCATTTTCACGCGCACTTGGCTGTCTCGGCAAATGATGGCCATTCCGAGCTCAGAGGTTGACCTGGCAAGGGCCCACCCCACCGTGCACTCCCTCTGCATTTTCACTCTTAAACCTGGCAAACGCCAATCCCCAGTTTCCTCATGATTATCTCCCAGCTTTGAGTGGGTGTGTCCTCGGTATTTTACGATCTAGCTGCGAACAGGACAAAAGCGGCAGGGCATCCCTTTAGGAGGCCCGACCCCAGCAAGCGCTCATTGCCTTCCGCCGTCCTTTGCCTGTGCATCCACGCTCGAGGCTGAAAAGACGCTAAAGTGTCACCGAAGCCAAGGGGCTCATGCCGGAGGCGGGACAAGCGAAAGACCTCCCTGCTGTTCTCATCTTGTCGGTGACAACAGCCGCAAGGTTTTTTCCGCAACCTTCATAGATATGTAACCACTCTAGGTGCTACAGCCTTTGCAATAGCCCTGGATGGGCTGACAGTACCAACAGGGTAAGTCGAATTGATCAGACACGCTTTGAATAAGTCGCAAAAATCTGCTTCATATTATATAACGCTGTAATTTAATGTAGAGCTGTGGCTAAATGGTACATTCTATATGAAAAATTATTAGAGTGAACCTTGCCTTAGTCAAAAGTTACGAAGAAAATGTGTACTTTCCTTATGAAACAACATGTCCTATTTCATGCCAAAAAAAAAATTGTGCTAGGGGTTAAGGAGACATTTTATTAGACAAACTAGAGAATGGGAGCAAGCTGATGACTTCCTTCCCTCAACTTTCTATGTAAAATCAAGCATACCAATGGCTCTTTTTTTTTATATGTTGGTCTTTATAAAGGTATCTCTTTTCTTTTTTTACTTTTGACTGAGGCAAGGTTTTTTTTTCAATATTTTCACAAGCCAAATGCACCTCCTAGCTTTACCTACCTCGCAAATTACAGCATCATAGCCAATGAAACTGATTCTACCTGATAATTTAAAGTGTGTTCAATCCATCCGACACACCCCGTATAAACGAAAAATGAAACGAGGTAACGTCGCAGCCGGCAACTCCCGGCTTGGAGCAAATGGTTTCCACATTCGAGTACCTGGGACAGCTTCAATTAAGAACATTGCGTCCCATGAGCGAGAGACCGTCCTCACCGAGAAAGGGTCGGCCTGCTCCCACGAGATCGGCGAGCTCCAGGACCCGACGGGCCGGAGCTTCTCCGGCAGCGACTCCGGCACCGCCACGAGGATGAACAGCACGTCAAGGAGCGCGATGGCCGAAGCCAAAGCCACCACGAGCCCGTCCGAGTACATGTGGCCCAGGTAGGCCCCCAGGGCCGGGCTGGTCACCAGGCTGGCGGCAAACGTGGCCGACACCAGGCCGTACGCAGCGCTGCGATCCTGCTCGTCCGTCACGTCGGCGACGTAGGCGAACACGACGGAGAAGGTGACGGCGAACACGCCCGACATGGAGATCATGGCGAAGTACCACCAGGTGTTGATGAGCATGAGCGGGATCGGGGCGCATGTGAAGAAGACGGTGACGAGAAGGAAGAACTTGCGGCCCCAAACGTCCGAGAGCGCCCCCACCAGCGGCGCACTCAGGAAAGACAGGAAGCCCTGAAAGGGGGTCGAAGGTATGCGTGCGCATCGTGCGACGTCTTCGTTCTTGTGGGTGGCCGCGAGCCCCGCAGTCGGTTCTCCAAACAGACCCCTTTCGAAACCCCGTCGAGCAACACTGGTGTTCGCCGTTTCTCGGTTTTGAGGCTAGGTGGCCCAAGCTTCCGCCCGTTAACATCCACCCAACCATTCGTCCATCCATTAAGCACGAAGTGTGCGATTAGATTCGAGTTAACGCCGACGCAACCCTTGTCCAACGCATGCTCAGAGTATAAGTGCCCCCCCAAACAATGGCACGCTCGAATAAAAGGCGCAACAGCTACTAGATGGCGGGCCCTTTTGAAATGGGTCTGTTTGCGCACTTTTTTTCAAGTTAAGAAAAGCAGGCCAAGCTCAACCCCCCCCCCCCCCCCCCCCCCCACAAAATCCTCCACTCTTTCCAGTTAAGAAGAGCAAATGCTGGAGAAGTGTGAGAAGAGGCAAGTCCCCTCGCCTCCTCTGCAGCGTTCGCTCTGCTAAAGTGCAAAGAGTGGAGAACTTTGCGGAGGGGAGCTTGTTGCACTCTTCTTAACCTGCAAGGGTAGAGAAAATTTTTAAGCGGAAACAGAGATGGACACAAAAAAGGGGACAGAGACAAGTGCTTCTTTCGACTGTCCGTGTCCGTCTTCGACAGCGCTTACAAATTTCCCCAAGCACCGCGCAACACTAGCCCATAAACAAGTCTCATCGATCTCCGGAACATGTTTCCGGAGATCAACGAGACTTGTTCTTGGGCTGGTGTTGCGTGATGTACAGGAAACTTGTGAGCTCAATTGGAGAAGTAAGAAAAAGAATTTCACCCCAAATCACACCAAATTTAAAGGAGAGAAGGAACAGACATCCGGCAGAAACAATGGACAATGGGAACTCCCGCCGAGGACATGAACACTGAAGGTGCCAGTTTCGTTGTACTTTCGTTTCCCGCTTTTTTTTTTTCTTGGTAGTTACGTCCATTCGTAGAAGCATCTTTTTTGGTTTAGTAGCAGTTCCGTGCGCCCGTCGTTACGCCGCGCTTTTATAGACGGACACACTGTTTACAAACAAGCCCGCATTTGCCCACACCAGGTGTGGGCACTGCGCGTGCGCAGAAATCAGATTCGCGTGAAGTGAGGCGCTTGCGCATGCGCAGTGCCGTCGACAAGCCACCGCAGCTGCGTGACGTCAGTGCCGCGTGCTGGTCTATACGACAGCAGGTTGGGTGCTCAATGAGAAAACGTTTTGCACCCACTTTCTTCCGAGGCGGAGGGACACGCACCGAAAGAGACACATACCACCACATATGAAAGAACATAAAAAATCTAATGCAGGGTTGCTTCAAAGGGACCATGAAATTATTTGTTCGCTGTGGACAACTTTTTGCGGTAATAAGGCACGGAATGAAAAGCAGATCTTGTTTCCAAAAAGAGAGCTCCTGAGGCTCGTAATTCTCCTACCCACCTCTCCACCAAGCTGCCGTTCAAACGCCCCATAGAAACCAACAAAACAAATATGATCTTTTAGCAGCGCAAATTTTTGATGGCGTTTACGCTGCTATTGAATACGCTCCAGCGGCCCAAGGGGGGCGGCTGCGGATTCGCAGTTTATCTTTTTTATCTCGCTTCTCTGATCACTGTTCAGACAAGCAGCTGCTTTCAGAAAGCACGTGGCGAAACGAAAAGCCTCAACGGATCCCATGATATACCATCCTTGCGACATTTTGTCCGGCAGACAGCTGCAGTGGGAAAAAGACCAGCTGGGATGAAGCCGATTAAAGTAATAAAAAACGAGAAAAGGAATAGAGACGGAAAAGAATGATTTCATCTGCCAAAAGCTGGCATCGCTACCATCTGTGAAACTGGCAACTTCTGTGAGCGACAGGAAGAACCACGAAAGAGCGGGTCGACTTTAGCTGCACGAGTGCCAAACGTTAACTTTGTTCCGTTAAGTCTGCCAAAGCCAAAACAATGAGGTACTCAGGGTGAAGCCACAATACGACATAAAAGTGTTATCCAAGCTGTTCTTTGTTTCAAGCTCGAGCCGACTCTTTAGGGCACATGCTGAACTGGACCATGCAGAAACTGAAGCATGCTAGCAGGATAAACAGGCAATTACACACTCCCTCCGGCATTGGCACAAAATACGCAAGTGTTTTCACAGGCAGAGAGGGACCTTACCTTGATTCCCATGATGAGCCCGTTCATAAGGAAAGTGTGATTTGGGAAGGTTTCGTTGAGAACCTGGGGAAAACAAACAAAACAATAAATGTAGGAAAGCAGCCGATGTAGCGGCGCACTGGGCCAAACTTTAACTTACTGTGATCATGGGTGTCGTCAGGAGACCCCAGGCAAAGAACTCTAGGAAGATCACAACCACGGCGTGGTAGACGCTTGGCTCTCCGAAGCCCGAAGTCTGCACAACAGATAAGAAAAAAAAAAAAAAAAAGTTTTTTGTTGTTAACAACGCGTATTACAACAGCCCGCTTCGGCACAGGCGAGCGACGTCATGGACCTTCCAAGTCTACAATCGCAAGACAATCGTCAGTTTTGGAGCACTACGCATTTCGCTGATGCGGAAAACCTCAGCGCAGCGTTTTAGCGCGAACGCGGCGCTGTCTGTCTTCGCATCTATTCGCTCAGCGCCTCCGGTACATTTTCAATATATACAAGAACAACATCTTTCGATCTGGCTCTGGGGCCATCTGGAAGAATCGATAAAAAGGCTAGAGTAGAAGGAAACAAGTTTGTACTTACGATGAAGCCATCCTTCATGATGGACTTCCTACTTCGAATGATCATGGTTGCAACCTTTCGTGAAACTTTGGCAGGCATGACGAGCGCTCGATTCATGGGTCCCGATGTCGCTGGGTGTCCGCAGACAACGCGGATCGGCAGGAGAACTTGGAAAATAATTTAGTAACAAGGCTAGCTGCGCCGATCGGCAACTGGGCACTAAGCACACGTAAACGTTGATGACGGTTGTTGATCGCTGTTCACAGTAAGCCTAAGCTCGGACAGGTGTTTTGCCCGTCACAGCGCGTTCCACTCGCCTCGTCCGCGTCCGGCGACATGTCCTGCTGGCGACGTTCCGGACGGGTATCAGCCACAAACCGCCGAATATCAGTGTCGCGACATGATAATGACGGTACGCAAGGTGCAATTTGGACAGGCCATATCCACAAATTTGCCTGGAGTCCACCTGTTGACACTGGGCTTGACGAAGTGGACACCTTTCCTAAGTCGTGGTTTCACCGCCGTGCCTTAGAATGGCGCCACCTGTGCGTCGGTTACCCAAAGCGAAACTGCCTCGCCAAAAACGGGGTTGGCAACGAATTTTAGCGTATCGTATTTTGCTCAAATTATTATAATGATTTTTCTAACGTTTACAATATGGTTTCCCGAGTGAGGAGCTTCTCTCAGACTTCTAGTTCTTAATTTATATGATAACCTTCGAAAGCTATTTGTGCCGTTAGCTGCTTCGATCACGTCAAGCTGAGTATTGTGATCGCAAGCGTATGGCACGCTACTGGTTGTAAGAAACACTATTTTTAGCAAAAGTGTTAAAAAACCTTTACAGCTGGTCAGCTGGTATAGACCTAGATATACAGACAGGTTCAAAAAGAAGAAGAAGCTGAAGGAACCAATATCAGAATTTTTCGAGCGCCATGCAAAAGCTAATTCGATCACGTTCTAGCAACGCGAAGGACACTACCAAAGATAATCATAAGCTTGCCAAGCATGCCAAAGATATTCTTAGCCCCTCGCCCATTAACAAGCCACAAGAACCTCCTCAACGTCTGTTAGACATCGGGACCATGCAAGAAATGTATGACGACTTCGTAGACTTGCACCAAATCTCTGCACTGATCTACTCGACCAAGTTCCGAACCATGCGAAACAAATGGTTCTGGGAGTCGGCTTGCAATAAAGGCTACTTCATCCACCGAAAAAGGTCAAGGGAGACCATCCTACGGCCCGTGCTACGTCTCTACTACAGCGTGACCGACGTCACCAGTGATGCCGTTTCCTCTCGTTATGACCTGCAACAGCCGTTCCTCAGCGTACGGTCCCGTCGGACCACCGAGCCCTACTGCAAGCTTGCCCGGCAGATCTGGCTGCAGTACAAGATGCCAAAACGACCACCGGGTTGCTTCCGCCTTCTGGGGCTCTCAGGTGTCTGTTTCCCACCGCCTACCGTACGCTCCTACCAGGTTGACGGCCTACTGGCCCATGCCCTGAGCACATTCCAAGACCCTCATGACCTTGTGATGTTCCCTGTGCTCTCGAATCTCAAGACATACTTCCAAGACGTGACGGATTTTCTAAGCAAGATGACGGCCTTGAGAGATAAGTCCAGGAGCCTCGACGAGAGGCTGAACTTGGCAGGGGCAAGGTCTAGAAGCACTGACAGCAAGCAAGAACTGGCAGTCAAAGCTATGGACTTGACCATAGTGGATTGGCCCTGGCGGACTCCGAGACTCCCCAAACCGATGCCACAACTGTACCAGGCCGCGGGGAACCAAGACAGCGGCAACGTGTACACCCGCGTCCTGGCACCAGAACGTCAAGAGCTCCACGCTTCTCGCAACATTGCGGTCTGCCTGCTGTACCGGATGTCCCTGGTGACGCGCAGCATTCTGCAGTACCTTGTCTTCATCAACGTCGAGGGCCAGGCGGCCCAGGACCTGGCTGACGAGGTGCTCGTCGCCACGGTTCGCCAACAGATGACCGAGAGCGTGCAGGAGATGTACCTGGACCCCAGCACGCGCCTAGTCGACGCGCTCTTCGATGCCGTTATGACGCGGACAGCTACGCTGGTCCATCAGAGCGGCAGCTCGAAGCACCTGAGGGTCCGGACTCTCCAGCAGTGTCGGTTAGGCAGCGCCGTGGCAACCTGGCAGCTAGTTACTATGCTCCTGTCTGGAGTCGGCGAGGCATTCTCGGAGGCGGTCGTTGGGGAATTGGGTCGCGAGGACAAGAGGCGCAGATACTGCGTCGACTTTCTTGCGCTTGTCCCACGCCTCAAGGACGACTGCCTCTACCGGCTGTTCAACACCCTGCAGCTGTGGCACCGTAAGCTTAGTCTGCTCCAGGCCCAGCACACAGATAGCCTGGATCCGGTTGCAGACCGAGCCGTGGCTCTGCTCGCCAAGACGGCGGTGACCTGCACGCTGCACCTTTTCCAGACGCAGAGGGTGCAGCTTAGGCACGTCTACCTGCGCAGGCGGGAGCTGCAGGAGGACTTTGGCCATTTCCTGGCATGCCTCAATGGCACATTCTCCGTGATTGCACCGCAGCCGGCGATAACGGTGGACGCGATCGCAGGCGGCCGCCTACGTCTATTTATGGTCGACATGCTTGTGCACTACTACACTGAAGTGGTCGAGTCGTCTGGTGACAACCAGCAGACGGTGCTGGAGTGAGCTTGTTGGACAAGCTTCATTGACCGGAGGCACAATATAACTAATTCTAATTCTCGAGTGGTATCTGTTTCCGTACATGCCCGGTACACAGAAAAGAGATTTTCCAGATATACTAGCTTCGGTGCTACTGTACTCCATTTCACCTCATGATGGACCGCATTGGATACTACGATGAGCCATCCTCCAATCTAACACTGCAAATGTATAACATGACTACGCGCCCAGTGCATTGGTGTGCTCCTCGCAAAGGTCATGTGACAAGATTGGCTTCAATGGCTCGTAGAATCCTCTGCGATCCGTCGCAAAGTGAAACGGATTATAGTGGAAAAAATTTTCATGCTTGAGGAACGCAAACTTGCCACTTGTTAGAAACACGTCTGACGACAGCAATGTCAAAACCTACTGTCTTCAACATGTGGCTCAATGCCTGCAATGAGGAAAAAAAGGGACAACTCCCGTGTTTGTTGTGGTTCATCGTATTTTAGGCCTCATCCTCCGCAACACAGTTGCGTTGAATACCTGCTAGCCAGCCCGTGCCCTTCCAGGCATCTACTGCTACTCCGATGCCCCCCCATAGTGATACGCCGCACAGAACAACACATGCACGGTTTGCAACCACTAAAACTATCTGGTTTCATTTCACGTAGTTATACCCTGCTCCATTTCGATTGTCCTCTGCCGCTTCTGTACGCTGTCCTTAAAGTCTAGCACCTTTTGGCGGTAAACCCGCGCCTTCTCCTCGTCCTTGGTCACGCCTTCGCCCTTGTTATACATCAGGCTCAGGTTGGAGCACGCGTACATGTTGCCCAGTTCGCAGGCGCGCTCGGTGTAGCCGAACGCCTTGCGCATGTCCCTGGGTATGCCCGGCCTGTCGCCGGCGATGAGCTGTCCGCTGGCAAAGAAGCAGCCTTCGGCGTTGCCCATGGTGCAGGCCTTGTCAAGGAACTCCATGCCGAGTCGGTTGTCCTTGGCGACCCCCGGTATGGCATCCGAGGAGGTCAGCATGAGCCCCACCGCAAAACAAGACTGGGCGCAGCCGGCATCGCAGCCTTTCCGGTAGTACTTGAGGGCCTCTGGCTTGTCCTCTGTGCAGCCTGGGAGTGCACAAAATAGGTAAAACTGTACAAAAGAAAAAGTTAGATCTTTTTTAAACAGGCCCGCAGTTATGGGCACTGGGAATGTGAAAAGTCATGTTCCGAAGGGCAAAGCATCTGTATGTGCGCTGCAACGCTTTGCGGACCCACACTCTCCTCGCGTAGCGACACCGACTTTTGGCGTCCGAAAGGGCGACTGCACTGCCCATCGAGCGGCATAACGCCAGAAACACGAGCTGAATATTTCGGTGGAAGACTACCATAATATCCCAAGAGATGACCCACCCCCGAAAGATAGCCCACCCCTAATTTTTGGAAAGACTTGCTATTTTTTTCAGAAACACCGAAAGATAGCCCACTTCCAGTAATTGCAGGGCCCTGACCAATGGTGACCTTGGCAAAACGGTGTTACTGTGGGATATAAGCGAACACTGCTGGCTGGAAAGGACAGTCGTCTTCGGTTCATCGCCCCTTCCTGCGATCACAACTTTCGAGTGTCACAAAATCTAAAACTGGCTTGTTTTCTTTTTTGTGCCACATTGAGAGGTGCACTTTTATCCGATGTGCTATCGATTTTAGGTGGGCTCTCTCGGATTATTGCAGTACAAAAATATCTAAGAATTCTTGTCTCTCCATGTTCATCCCTAACTTTACCGAAACATCAAGCCGTGACTTGGTGCTGCCGTTTTCCGGTTGCCGAAGTTAATCATGGCGAAATATGAACCGTCGGCGACGACTCTCGCCAAGTCGACAGTTGTTATCTAGTCGCGAGTGCTCTTTTCGTGGCCCTCGTTTTGCGTAGCTGTTATTTCTATCGTGTTAAACTATCACAAACACGCCCAGTTAAATACTCTGCTCCAATGTCGAAAACACTGACCTTTTCCGATGAGCTTGTAGTTACCGTACTTGAAACAGCTCTTGCCGTACTTGTTGTCGTCGCAGTTTGTCCTGTAGACGTCCAGAGCTTTGTCGAACTCCTTTTTGATCGCCTCCAAGTAATCGGCCAAACGGTGGCAACCTATATATATATAAAAAAAGAAGTATACGAATGTGTATTTTGTGTCGGCGTTTCGGTCGTACCGTCTGGTTTCTTTTCTTTGAAGCACTCGAACCGGTATTCAATACCCAGATTTTTTATGTACTCTTGGACATCCTCTTCCTTTTGGAAATCGTAAGGCATTGTGTATCGCGGTTAAAACAGTCGACAGTGGCGATGTACGTGACCTTTCTGCCCGATTTGCGAATCTTTGAGGTCGTTCATGTGCTTAGAGTTGCCTGTCGTTGCAGACCTTGCAGACGCCCGCACGCGTTGCACAGTGTTGTCATTTAACTGTACGACGAGTTCACCAAAATAGAACAGACGATAAAAAAAGTTCTAAATTTCTTAATAAAATTATAAACAAATTCTTCATTAATATTACGTTCATAACTAGTATTTTAAGTGTATGTACAAACTTCGACGTTGTTTTTATTTTTTCTCGGCACAGCGAAATCTCTATTTCTTTATTGTTTTAAGCTCAAGCCAATCCAAACCGCAATCGGCTTGAGGGTACTTGAAAACCTTGAAAAGGACGCGGCTAGAAATCAAAACCCACCTTTACCCCCCTGCTTGAGCAGGGGGGTAAAGGTGGGTGAGGAGGAGTGGCAAATCCCGTGCGCCGACACCCGGGGTCCCGAGTGAACGATCGCAAAGGAGAGCGACAGAACAAGAGAGAAAGAAAGCAACGTTGCCATGGTAAACGCGAAGAGTGAAAACTCTCAGCAATATACACGTTTGCAAGTCCGGCTTCAGGGCGCTGCCATCTTGCTTGGCTGGGGGTGCGCTCGGACGGGTTTACTACAGTTGATCGAATGCCATTTCATCGAAGCACGTTTTAGTTAACGGGCTCGTTTTATCGAAGCACGGTTTAGAGAAAGAAGAGACTCGGTTGAGAGAAACGCCGTTTATCGAAAAGGGAACAATATTTAAAAACGGCTTTCCTACTTCGCGCGTGCATCACTGGTGCGCGTGTTAAAGGGATACTTCAACGAAATTTGAAATATTCCCGTCGTGTTCAAAAATAGGTTGAATATGATCCACATTATCCGTAAATGACAATCGCACGTTTGTATTTTGAGCCTGGTGGCTGTATTTTTCGTTATAAACGGCACACTTTGGCAAGCGCTCGGAGAAGGCCCAGCGGAAACCACGTGACATCCAACGCAATCGTGACGTAGGTCGTCTCAAGACGACCAAAGCTACGGCGAGGCTGACGTCGAGAGGATGGCCTAGTCGTTCCAGCCACCGAAGCGGCTGCTTTTGTACAAATTTTGAGTGACGGGTTAATCTTCTATAATCTTGTAGGGGGACAATAGCGACTTCTGCGACACACAAAAGGCATTCTCGGGAACAGGGGAGTTCCTCCTGCCCCTCTTCTCTCGTCGTGGCCGGATTCGAGACAACCTCTGTCACTAGCTGCCAAGGTTGCTAGACGGGCATTACAAGCGAGGCGTTAGCGACATCCACCAGGTGCTCTTTGCTAATCGTTAAATTCGTTTTAAAATTCCTTTTCGTGACTTTTTTAACGAGATATTGGTATTTTCGATTTGATGGTGCTTTTTTGAACACATATAGACCAAAAAATGAGCGCCGAAATTTCGTTGTAGTATCCCTTTAACCCAAGCCCCCTGCTGCGCTCCCGCCGCTTCGCGGCGGCAGTCTACGGCGGCTCATTACAAAATTGTTAACTCACCTGATTTACCCGTACACGCCGCTTCACGGCGGCCGAATTCGCTAAAAGGAAGCTCATCGCCATTTTCTCTAAACTGGGTTCTCTACAAAGGGATTCGCTAAACTGGGGTCGGTAAAACGGCGTTCGCTAAAACGAGCTTCTCTAAACCGCATGACTCCGTTTTTCATGTTGCTTTTTTTTGGCTATCAACACAGTCTTTTCTACATAAACTGGGAAATTTGTAATTGCATTAAAGCACAACAAAACAAGGCCTTAAAACTTTAATACAAGCAATTCGATTAGTAAGATTAAGACAACGAAGTTTTAAAAAAAGTCTCACACTAACACCAAACTCAAAGTTGGGTAAAAAAAGACTCATAAATTCTTTTGTTTTGGAGCTCCTATTTCGAATCAAAAATAAGTTATCGAGTAATTAAGCACCCACATGAATTTTTGTGAAATGCAAGATTTTTTTTTTATACAACATCATGTTTTATGTAAGCAGTGATAGAGTGCAGGTGAGCTGGTAGTCAATCGACATCTTGTAGACCTTGAGATGGGGAACGATAAAAAAATCGTTCCCCATCTCAGGGTCCACAAGATGTTGATGTTTTATGCACATGCCAGAAATTTAGAACCTAATACCAGCAAAACTAAAATTTATAATTTTACAATTTATTTTTTATAATTTTGAGGCATTTTTATTTAAATTACTTTTTTCCATGCATATCCTAAACATAAAAAAATTGCCACAACCCCTTTAGCATAACATGACCCTGCAGTGTTCTGAAGCGTATCAGTGCCAAGTTGCGCACATCGATGCTGCTAGGCGCTACACTTCACAATGAATCCCGTTTCCAGAAGGGTGGCCATCCTTGTGCCTTCCTTTGTGCTCAGTTTTCCCCCTTTTTGTTTTTGTGTTCAGTGATTCGTTCCGTCGTGCGATGCAGGTGCTTGGATTGTGTGCTGCTGGTCGTGAATCCCGACGGTCCGAGGTTTTCCTCGTGGTCCACGTCTGACCATGCCGTTGTGTCGTGTCTTCGGTTGCGTCTGCGTTGAAGTCTGACCTTGAGTAGGTTTGGGTGCTTTGGAGAAAGTGGAAATGATTTAGCCACGTACGTTTGAGATGTGCGTTACAAGCTTGTCGCTCTTTTTTTTAGTGCAGCAGTCGCTAGAGGCTTAATACCGGTTTCTAGCCTCTCTAATCATGACTCGTAAGCCGTCTTACGGTTGGGCCTCGTATGTCAACAGAGGGCTGAACAACCCTAAACTCTTTACAGCCTAACTGGCTTTGGGCCCTCGGAAATCACACCCTGTAAGTGTGAGAAAGAAATTTTGCCACATATTAAACCCGAGAGAACAATTCTTGCCTCGCAAGCTTGATGCCTGAACAGCCTGTAGCTGTTGACATATTGCTGAACACTTGGGGCTGGAATCGAGGCAAAGTGTGACGCAATTCTTCAGTTTGCTGGTGGAATTTAGTGGAGGAATCGGAGCATTTCAGTTTCATAAAGGGGGGATTTTCTCTACCTCTGCATTACTGTTATACCATACAGTGTTGGGTAAAGTACATCTAAAAATTACTGGAAGTAAAGTACAAAGCAAATTAGAGCTATCTTCAAGTAAAGTAATATGTAGAGTAGTTAATTGCTTTGCTCTCTCCGACAAACAATTTAACGCAACTTATAAGGCACATAGTTGACAAAGCATCATTGCTTTACACAAATATAACAAGACCAAATTTGAGAATGTACCTTGAATTTGAGAGTTGCAAATTCCTCAAAAAGTACCAGTAAAGAAAAAAGAAAATTACAAGTACAAGTTTTTTTTTTGTTTTTTGTTTTTTTAATCTACTTGAAGTAGTACTGTACACTATATCGTCAGAGAAAATGTGTTCCTTACAAACATTCGATCATCAAAACGAAAATTCGTAAGAGAAATTAAAAACGTATCGACTTTCTTTGTTCAGCCCTTACCGCTTGTTCTTGGTGAGAGCTGCGCTGGAGAAGCGAAGGAAGGGCAAACCTCCGCAAGTGGGCGTACTTGGCCGTGTGTAAACCAGGCTACAGTGAACCTCGGCGCCTCGGCGTTCTTCAGGAAGTTTTGTGGCCGAAAATGACGGGACCATACCTTGAGGACCTTCCACACCAGCGAAACAGTGCCAGGTCGTTCAACCATTGACTTCGGAGCTCGGGATCTTCCGGCTAACTATGGCGGATTATGCTTTAGTTCGTGGTCGCAGGTGGCAATCCAAAAGTTTGGACAACCTTCGATGCAGCACAGCGAAGCCATGGCCAACGTTACTGGAACACTTCACAAGGGCCAGCATGTCTGTTTGGTTGTTCGGCCAACTCAACGATTAACTGTTCAGCTTTCGCCTGCGAGAACATCGCCTCAAACCCAGCAAAGTCAAACTTTCAAAAAAAAAAAAAAAAAAGAAAGTCCAACATTATTTTAAATCTCGATCGCAAGCTGGAAGACTTCAGGGCCCACTTTCGCGAAGACCGCCACCCGGCCAACACCGGCGCCAGCCCCTGGGCCCTACGCGGCTACCCGGCCCTACCAGCCCTACCCCTGCTACCCCTACGGGGATGCTGAACTGGCTGAACCGCTGAACAAACTGTGGGTTGAGCAACCTGCGTCGCCGGAAATTGGGCCGGCTCGTCTGCAAGCTGGGCACGCAGGAAAGCTTCGCCAGGCGCTCGAGACCGACTTGCTAGAAGTCAGCAGCCCATGGCGGTCCTGGCCGCCCTGGACCAATATCAAGATTAGCCATATATTAAAGGGGCACTGACACCCCAAAGGTCGTATTCTTTTTTATTGTGTAAAACGATGCAGGTTGTAGTCATAGACACGCAAAAAAAACCGCATCGCGAAAAAAAATTTCCCCGCGCGCGCGCGCGCCTTTTTATTTTTGGCGTTTATATTTCCCGCGCTAACCTCCTTGCTTCTTTTGATCGGTGACGTCAAAAATCAGGAAATTTAGAAGCTTTGTAGGCGACATTTCTATAACATTTAATAACGGCAATCGTAAAACATGTTTTTTAACGCAATGACGAACGCACTACGGCCTTTCTTTTTGAAATACCAAAAATCAGATTTCGGTGTGATGTCGCTTCCTGAATTTTTGTTCTCCCTCGGAAACCTTGGCGGCGCTCGAGCAGAGGCTTATCGCCGAGTCGGGGAAGACCGGTTTTTCCCCGCGTCGGCTCCCTTCTATCCCGCCTGCTCATCTCCTCTCTTCGGGTCGCGGTAGCAACGGCGCTTCGCTTCACAGCGTGGTTCGGAGGTCCGAAAGAAAGTCGAGTCGCAGGAGACCGCAAAATTTGACTCACTGCGCTGGCGCGGATCGCGCGGGAACTTCAAATTCGGCATTTGGAAATTGTTTTTTTAATTCACAAATACTGAATTCCCAAGTTTCGAATTTTGAGGGTAATGTCCCGGCATCATTTTCAATCGTTTCGGATAATAAAATAAATTACGATTTTGATGTGTCAGTGCCCCTTTAATCAACCGAACCGCCACACAACAAATACGGCTCTGTACAAATACAAACAAGCAAATCCATGGGATGGGGCCACTGATCTCTATGACAATTGCAATTGTCATTAAGATCAGTGGGATGGGGCACGCACGCCATACATGGGTAAATTACTTTCAAAATGTAATTTAATTACAATTACAATTATTTTGCTCCAAAAGTAGTTTAATTACAATTGCAATTACTACTATGCGAAAGTAATTCATTACAATTACAAATTACTTCTAAAAAGTAATGCGATTACTTTACAATTACTTATTTCTGAGAACTACCCACCTTATATTCGCAATAAATAAAAGAAAAATTTATTATATTTTTATTTTATTTTAGAACAAGCTCTTGACAGTCTAAAAACGCTGTTTGTTAAGTTTTGGAATCTCGTCCAATCAGCACTCTAAAAAAAAGCCCGTGCGGCTACTTTCCCTCACAACACTCGGAGAGCCAATCACCGCAACTTACGGAGGTAGCTCAGCAAATGACGATGCCGAAACATATGTTTAGACCGAAAAACGCAGTTTGAGTTGTGACATTCAGCAATGCAACACGTCATGCTTGCATTGCTTAATGTCACAACTCAGACTGCGTTTTTTGGTCTAAACATATGTTTCGGCATCGTCATTCGCTGAGCTACCTCCGTAAGTTGCGGTGATTGGCTCTCCGAGTGTTGTGAGGGAAAGTAGCCGCACGGGCTTTTTTTAGAGTGAGGTTGAGGAACGGTTGAAAGGGTTAGGGGTTGGAGCAAACAGTAAATAATGAAAATTTATGCAGAAAGGTAGACGAAGATTGGGAGGGGAAAGAGCAGTGTAGCAACAACGGTTGGAAGTAAGGTGGGGTGGGTCGTGTTAACGAGACCTCGATGTTAGAGTAGCACAACTTACTGTAAGTGGCACCATCAGACAAGCTAGAGTAGAGGGACGTGAAAAACACTTAAAGAAAATAGAATAATTTCATGGACACTACCGTATTTACTTGAATATTAGCCGCACTGTTTGTGAAGAAAGCCTGAGGGTTCGCTTTTCCTCGAAACACGCGGACTGCCAATCGCCGCGATCGACAGCATGATTCTAACGGTTTACAGGACAGACATGACGCCTTCGCGCGAAGATACCATCTGTGAAGATTGTATTTCTATGGAGAATCGTGTTCGCAATCTAGTTATTCGCTGTGTTATTTACGCGCAAAGCGATGATTAGCTGTATTTATGTTCTGCGCAAAAGTGGACGCAAGGGCCTTGTTCATAAATAGTGCGGCTGTTACTCGAGTAAATGCGGTAAAATCCCCAACCTTGACTGAAATATGTAAGTGAATATGCTAGCGACGAAGACGCGTAAGAAGAACCTCGAACGTTTCGCCTCGACCGGATGATGTGACCGGAGCCCTACCAGCTCGACTTCGAACCCCGATGCCCCCTGCGGAGAATGAGAAACAAGAGAGACCCCTAGGAACCCGAGCAACAGGAAGCGAACGAGACGAAGAGACAGATTTCAACTGCGATCCGAACGAAAACCGACGTAAACGTAGCCCTCACTTGTCAAATTATTTCTCTAATTTCTCATTAAATCGTTTTACAGTTTACAAAACGGTTCATTCCGTTCTATCCCAGCCTCTCCTTCTCCCCTGTCGCTTAGGCTGTACTGCCGTCTCCGTGGTCAGGGGAGAAAAAGTCCCGACGCCGTAAAATCTGGCAAAGTAATTGTAATTCTGCCTGAAATGTTGCAATTACTGACGCTAGAAAGTAATTAAACTACAATTACAATTCCTTTTAGCTTAAAGTAATTAATTACAATTACAAATTACTACAAAAAGTAATTAAATTACAGTAATTCAATTACTGTAATTGAATTACTACCCAAGTATGAGCACGCACGCACTGTGGGATGGGATGGGGGATGGAACTCTAGGGGATGGGCAGAGAGTTGGGACGTAGCTAGCGCCATCGGTGGCATTGTCCGAGCATTGCACTCTAACATCACCCATAGCCGGCAGCACCGAAACTGGATCAAAACGGGGCCACACTGCTGCATCGCCGGGAGCTGCCTAACCTATAAAAATTCACCGAAAAAACAAAAAACAAGAAACAAAAAAAAAAAACTTTTAACTTATACCGGCAAAATTGCTTTTTACTGATCCCCCATGCTCAAAGGGGCATATGGTGCAGTCAACTAATAATCGCTCTCGGCAACTTTTGCTGTTCTCACAAGTGCCGTCGTTCCTTCTCCTCCGTATCTCAATGAATGTCAATAAACGAACAAGTCTCTATTCTTTGCTGTCGTTGCTTTCGTGCGTGCGAAAATGATGAGACACGGCGTCTTTCTTCCAACGAGTACGTCCCAGAAGTTGCGGAAATCTCGACTAGTACTCGAGGCTTTTTTATTAGTGCTGTTAACTTAAATTCGCGGCCACATAAACCTTCGGCATTTCCATTACAATATTACAATAAGATGTTTTGAGAAGGTGAAGCCATAGAGTTATTACAATGTACGCTAGAGGTTCAACTGGCGCTAGTGTCTATGCGACTTCCGGGAGGCAAATTGAAGCAGACAGCAACCAGTCTACTTTTGCGGTGCTCCTGTGCATTCCTATGGGGAAACACGCGCACATTTTGTCTCTTCGCCGGAAAATAACATAAATAACTTGTGTTATTTCGGTTGTACTGTATAGTGTGTACCTTTATTAACATTATGAAAGTGTAAATGCTTTAGTTACGGCATTTTTCTTTACCACTGAACGATGTCAAAATTCGGTGTATTTCAGGCCCAAACCTCTGTACCATGACAGGTATGTAAAAACGAGCGGCGATTCCAAGCGAAATAACGATCGAAAGGAATGTAGAATGTGTTCAAGGTTAGCTAGCATTCTGGTGCCGCTCATATATCGCTAATATGCCCGTCGTGTCATTATATGAAAATGACTCCGTCGTGCGCATCTTTACGATCCGTTAAAAAAACATTCGAACGTAAAAAATAAAGTACGTGGGCTACAAAAGGTGTGTATTTTTTTATTATTTTCTATGTCAAGCAGTTTTTATCGGGCACCTGTTTTCTGGCTTCTCCCTTCTTCTGCAAAGATTTGGAGCGTGCGGGTGATGATTGGAACCCAGAACAAGCATCTTCGCACATATTCACGAGCAGAAAGAATAAAACTAGCAGTACTTATTTAATGGAAATCAGACTATATTACGTGGCTTTCAATTTATTTTGATCGTCTGCATGCACAAGGAGTCACTTATTCAGTGTTACTGCGTAGTTCTTACCGTCTCTCATAGTTTCCCAGATGTCTTTCGTTCGTTTGGCACGCATATCCCCCAAGCTAGAAATCGCCGATGCCGTGTTCGCGCTAACAGTGTCCGACAGTGCACATAAATACATGTACGAAGCAGTTTTAGCACAGTTTTTCGTGCCACGAATTTAAAATAAAAACGCCGTAACTGACCAATTCCGTCTGCGTGACTGAGAAATGTTCTAATGTGCCCAGTGCGTACGAATTAGTCGTGATATTTGCTCTTATACTCGAGCGCAGAGAGCAAATGCACTCACTTTTTCCCATAGAAATGTATTACCGGAAGTCAATTTCGGACTGATTGCTGTCTGCTTCAATTAGCAGCAGCACACTAGCGCCAGTTGAACCTCTAGCGTACATTATAATAACTCTATGGGTGAAGCAAAGCCTCGCTAATATTTTATTAAAATTTCATTTTACAACGCAGATGGACAAAATATAAAATCTAAAAAAAAAAAAAATGGAGATGGCCAGGGTTTGAAAAATAAACAAATAAGTTGTAAACATTAATTATCGCAGTGGGAGCAGCCAAACGATATCATATTCGGTGACTTTAATTGCTTACCAAGAGATGAGATCTGCTTGCAGTCGCGTATCATCAAATCGGTTTGCTCAGTAAACAAACCAAAACAAAAAATAGGAAGCGCTTTGATATTACCAGCAACTCTACGATCACGATGCAACACCATATTGTGATCATTCACCACAATTCACACCAGCGTTCCGATTCGTTATGACACTGATCTCGCTGTGAATCCTCGTAGCTCGAGAAAAGAAAATTATATCTCCATAAGCGTTCGATGCGAGGTGCCTGCAAAATCGTTTTCAGCATCTGCATTCCCTCAACCAAAAGACTGACCTTGCGAGACGCATCACCTAATTGGCTGAGCTAACTTTCCTTTTTTTCTTTTTTTTTTCTTTTTTTC